CCAGCACATGATCTTAGATCTGCAGATACGGACCTTCTGCAAATACCTTCTGTAAAATACAGAAAACATGAAGAGGCCTCATTCAAATATTATGCTTCTAAACTGTGGAACTCAATTCCACCTGTTATTAGACAGTCAAGCTCAGTGCTCACTTTTAAGAAGCATCTAAAACATATCTCTTTAACTTAGCATTTAATTAAAACTCTATGTCTCATGGTATTAATCTTTTAATTTGATCTGTCATTTTCTTATATAATTCTAAATTAATACCTATAATTTCTTGTATTAAGCTTTATCACCTGTCTGTTGAGCACTTTGAGCTGCCGCTGGCATGAAAAGTGCTATATAAATAAAATAATATATAATTGTTATTGTTATTATTATTATTATTGTTATTATTATTATTATTATTATTACATTGCCCTGTCCCAGCTTTTTTGGAATGTGCTGCAGGCATCAACTTACTAGTGGAATTAGCATATATTTAGAAAAATTAACAAACATAAAAAGTTAAGTTAAAACAAGGTGAAATATTACATATCTCTTCTTTTTGCTGTTTTCTGTTAAGTACCTGTAAAATACAGTTTTTGTTTTTATTTGCATTTTACCTGCTGTCCTAAGTTTTTTGAAATTTGGTTTACACTCATGTATGTGACGTAGATGCTGCTTAAAATTTCAGCACCCCCAACTTAAAACACCTTCCCGTGTCACTGCACTCATACATAACACATGAAGTGATGTGCTCTTCACTGTGAGCAGGTTAGAGAGTTGGAGAGTGAGCTTGATGGAGAGCAGAAGCGGCACGTGGAGACGGTGAAGACGCTGCGTAAAAACGAGCGCCGCCTTAAGGAGCTGGTCTTCCAAACAGAAGAAGACCACAAAACCAACCAGCGCATGCAGGAGCTTGTAGAGAAACTGCAGAACAAACTGAAGTCTTACAAAAGGCAGATAGAGGAGGCTGTGAGTACATTCCTTTTTTGCCTTCACTGCACATGTATTACATGTTGGTAATAAAGACAGCTTGCCTAAATGCCTTCCTGGCCTAAGATGTTTGTAACGTTGTTGCAGGAGGAGCAAGCAAATGCAAGTCTATCCAAATACAGAAAGACTGTGCATGAGCTTGACGATGCCGAGGAGAGAGCAGGCATGGCAGAGATGGCGCTGAACAAACTCCGCACTAGGAACCGAGCTTCTGTGAGCAAAGGCTTCACTAATGTAGAGATTGTGCAGGTCACTAAAACATCCAAGAGTTCCTCTGAGGAGTAAGAGGTCCGACCCATGCAGGAGGTTAGCATCAATGCTAATTCAGTTTATTTTTATTTTTTCCCCAAATTGATATCAGGACTCAGTTTCCCAAAAGCATCTTGGTGTTCAAATGATCATAAGTGTTAGTGAGAGAGTTTTCAGTGTGATACTCGCTCTACCATTTAAGAATCATCTTTGTGCTAAGATGTTTTCGGGAAAAACCCAGCCTAGTCTGTTTAGAGTAGAATGTCTTGGGGTGCAGGAATTTGACATTCATTCCATGTTTTTTTTTCCTAGAGTGACAGACAAACCAGCACTCATTCCCCACCTGAAGACTTTCTCTACAGCAGATGGGATTATTGAGGAACACGAAAGTCTTAAAACTACACTGTAAAAGTCTTAAGTAATCTAAATGTTCTTCTGTGTGTCTGACGTGTTTTTAATGTTAGATGAAGTCTAATGTGTTAGTCTAATGTAATGAGTGTAATTGATCTAGCTTGTCTAAATCTCTTTAGAAATGGCCTTCAGTAATGGGGAATGACTGGGGGAAGCTGCACTCTCATATCAACGATGGAGAGTACACCTGTGTTTGTCACTCTCCTGTCATGAGCTCATGTCTGAGTTTGTTTGCAGTCTTAATAAACTTTAAGCAAGTATTATCCCTCGTCTTATTTAATTATTCGGTAATGGCAAAAGAGAGATGTCTTTGTGCTTATACAGCTCTTGCACAGGTACTAGCAGAGCTCCGTGTTCATTTAATTGTAGAACTACCAGTAGAGGGTATGAAATGGAGAAGATCAAATATAGTCAAATATAGACAAATAATGAGAAAAGCTAATAAGACTCATATCTGGTACATTCCTAGAACTGAACACTGGAAATGATTGGGGTTGCAATCAGTTCACGCTACATTCCTCAAAAATGACTTCACATACATGATACATGAAGATGATTTAGACTGCATGTCACTGTACTCCTCTGAAAGTACTACAGTGCCTCATTAGGTTAGGCCAAGTTTGTTACTCTTTAATCAAAATATTAAAAATGGCCATATTATGGAAGCATTTTCTTGCTTCACTCTGATATTCTTTATAAACATTGTTAAAGTTTCAAAATATCTCTCTACATGGAAACTAATGCTGCCTTCAAGTGGCCTTCAATTTATCAGAAAAAACAATTTCCCACTAGGAGACACCACATGATGATGCTGAGATATCAGTGCTGATTTCTGCCGAGGACAGACGTGAACAGTCCATCCACAGACAGTAATAACACCGTCTAAATGTTAAATTACTGGTAATAGTGAACTTTTTTTAAATATGCAATTAAAAAAGTTAGAAGAGACCAAAAACAATTCGTGCCAGCTATTGTTTCATGACCTCTGTGTTCTTATTTACATCCAACATGAACAAAACCAAAATCGGTGGACAAGTTCTTCCCTAGAGAAAACTCCCCGATTTGCACATCAAAGCAGAATAGCTTCAAAAAATTCTGTTTGAAATACATCATGGCTGTAATGTCACAACATTGAACAACACATTTACATGTGACCACAAATGAGGAGCTGGCAAATGCCAGCAACCGGCAAGTCCTAGTATGGGTTACAGCAGTTTAGCCTGACTATTCTTGTTGAAGTGTTAAGGAATGTGGTCACTTTAGACAACCTGTAGCACAGTTACCAGAAATTGAATAAACATTGTTTTTGGCTGTCAGGAAATAAATGTACTGCTGAATAGCCTTCAAAAGGGTCCAGACATCTGATCAAGATTTCAGGTTTTCAATCTGTTCCTATCTGACAACTTTTTGAACAAACTGTGCCCCATTTGTCTTGAAAAGGCATCAACCAGTTGGGAGAATCTTGTTCTAGCCAATCAGATAGCCGGACGGTAAATTCAACTAACCAATCCATGTCCTGACATTTTATGAGTAAAGCAGTGTATTTCAAATGGTCCTGAATATGTATGTGTAGTTTGTTACTCACATGCTGCTGACAAGTCTCATATTGCTTTCATGTTTTCCTATCAAGTGGACAAAGATTAGAAAACATTAGAATTCACTTTCCTTTTCTTCCTAAAAGGCACCTTTGCACCAATAAACACAACAAAACATTGAGAATAACTAATACACACAACACACAAAGAAACCAAGACCTGATAATAAAACCAGTGGAAATGGAAGGGCTATAAATGCTAGTAGACTAAAAACAATAACCTGGGAACAATTACAGGGAGAGGGGGCGGGGTTACACACAGGTGGAAACACTAATGACAAGGTAAGACTAGAGAGGAGGCAGAGGAGGAGACTGGGAGGGTAGAGCCTGGTCTGGGAAACTGTTTGTCCCCTACACTGGACACAGAAATGGAAAAAGACTGACAGGAGACAGGATGGACACTGAGGCTACATTCCAAAATCCATGTCAATTCCAACCTAAATAGTATGTACCAATGTGCTCCATGGCCACTGCAACACCAGCAGCCTTCCCCGGTCAGCTGAGCAGCAACGCAGGAGCTGAGGCTTCCCATTTTCCCTACAGTGACATATTTACATTTATCATATCAGAAAGATGATAGGTAGGAGTGGTGGGAATGACTGATTGGTTAATATACTGAACAAAAATATTGTAGCGTGTTTAAATTTAAGTTGATTCTAGCCTGTTTACAGCATTTATTCTGTATTAAATTGTTATTATTTATTAATTATAATTTTATTATTCTGATGAGGACTCTTACTGTGAAGGCGAGGCTAACCGCCAGGCTGTGTTTATGTGTAGATTAGGGAGAACTGAGAGTCAGTCAAGAACTGACTGCTGAAAGAATGAGGCGTAGCTTAGGGTAGTGCATCTAGTATGCAGGTGTGCGCACCTTCTGGCAAACATAGCACTGCTGGTCCGCTGTCGGCCCAACAAACTGCAGCGGAGCCAAACATGGCCTACATTAATACGTATTTATTTGGCCCACATGTCCTAAAACAGATCTGTGTCAGTTATGGCAGAGATATGGCAATGCTGCCTGTGCGCTGACACTGGCACACTGTATGTGAGCCAAAAGTGGCTCAGATGTCGTGAAACAGATCTGGATCACTTTGGGCAGTACGTAAGGTGGTATTTGAAAAATAGGTAGTCCATCACAATCTGCCTCAATATTATGGACTCTACTAAATATCCTAGTTTGCAATTTAATTCAAATTTGGTTTAAAATCATTTGTGGCTAACAGAGTCACAGAGAGTCAAAGTTAACAAAGTCATTGCATTCAATCCACAGCAGTATGTGGGCCGGATATAATACTAAAGTGTGGGACATAACTGCCCTCACTCGTTTGCAAACTGGGTGGTGTGGGAATTCTGTTTGACACCCCAGCTGGTTTGCCTGGTTTCACTAAAATCCTTTATGGAAAAAGTGCTGCGTTTATATTTTTATTCAGTATATATAATTTTTGGTCCCCACCCACAGGTGCACAGTGACGTAATCAAAATCGAGAAGACGTTTTCGGGACAGAATTCACACAGAGGTTACAGGAAAACACCAATTTTGTCATTAAAGTGAGAGCTAATGTGAGAACCGCATTCTTACGTGGTGAAATACATTTCCTGCAGGTTCGGTTGGTAGTTTGACATGTTAGAATCCGATTTAGCGTTTTCTAGAACTAATGAGATTTGACTTGTTCAAATTAAATTTTCGGTATCAAATACTGCGGCTGGATTAAAAGCTAAAACGCTTTTCCCTCCTTTTCGATTCTGTGCGTACGCATGCGCAGTGAGGTGCGTCTACGCGGAGTGTCGTTGCCATTTCCCGGATTCCTGGACAGGCCGAGATCAGGAGCAGCCGGAGTGGATTCGTGTCGACTGTCCAGAGTCCGCGAATTCAAGTCCGTCCGAAAAAGCGAAGCAGCGGCGAGGCGTTTGTGGATATTTCACAAGAACCTCTCTCCAGGTAGAGTGTGTGGTATGTGGCGGAGCGGTAGAGGCCTCGGGCGCCGCTGTGTGTGTGAGAGAGGGCTGCGGTAGTGAGTGAGCGGAGGGAGCCGGCATGTCGGCTCAGAGAGCGAGGCCTTCATAATGAAATTAGCTTCAGGAAACAGGACCATGTCCCCTACAGCCTAACCAGCTCTTTTTGTTTTTATAGTGTTTTAAACCGGTCAGTCTATCAATTATCTTTTTAAAAAGTGAAGCTTATTTTTTCCTAGAACATCGCTGCTGATTTGACAATTAGCTTCCTAGCTTGTATGTAAGCTAATGCTAGCGAGCTTCAGCTAGCTTTGGGATTTGAAGGATTGCTAGGCGTTAGCCAGCCCCTTAGCAGCCCACCGACACTGGCAGACTGACTCACTTTACGCTAGCAATAGCTTAGCTCACTGGCTAGCTAGCCATAGCATTAGAAGCTGATATTGATCCACGCCCTGAAACCAAGAAGTGGTCCTTGACTGAAGTTCTTGTTCTGCCGGTTAAGTGAGAAATGTTAGGGTTGTTAGCGAACATTAGCTAAAATTCAACTTGATAGCGATAAGTTCAGGAGTGTTGTTTGAAGCTAGCGTTATCTGGGCTGCCAATGAATATATTTCCAATTCATCATGTCATCGTTGTATTTAATCCGAGGACTAAACTGACGAGAAATAGTACTAAATAATAGTATAGTATTAGTAATAATAGTACTAATAAGCTATTCAGTGCCTTTAGATTTTGCTAACTTGCACACCTAGCTAGGTTAGCTAGCTAAGCTACTAACGTAGAGTTTTCGTTTATTTTACTATGGCGAGTCCTGTGACTGATCAGGTGAGACAGTTAACGTTAGGTTTTTCCTTCTGATAACACTCAAATAACTACGGCCTATTTTTCATTTAGGGTTGCAAAAAAAAATTGAAAGAAGAAAATGTCACTCCACCAGTTTCTCTTGGAACCTATCACATGCCATGCCTGGAACCGGGACAGGACCCGTAAGTAACGAATTCATTCATCCTGGAGTTTATAAACATGTTGTATGGTATTTACTGTGTTACTTTTAGGAATGGTTCATTTTGCTTGTGTCTTGTTTTCCGTAGAAATTGCTATCAGTCCAAACAATCATGAGGTTCATATATACAAGAAGAGTGGAAATCAGTGGGTGAAAGCCCATGAATTAAAAGAACACAATGGACACATCACAGGTAAGCTCTGATCTGATCACTCAGTCTTAGATTATGTCATAACATTTGGGAACATGACTCAGCTAATCCTGATATGAAATATAATTATTGCACAAACATTTTAAGGGATTGACTGGGCTCCCAAAAGCGATCGGATTGTAACCTGCGGAGCAGATCGCAATGCTTATGTGTGGAGCCAGAAGGACGGCGTATGGAAGCCCACTCTTGTCATCCTCAGGATCAACCGTGCTGCCACGTTTGTGAAGTGGTCTCCACTGGAGAACAAGTTTGCAGTGGGCAGTGGAGCTCGCCTCATATCTGTTTGCTACTTCGAGTCTGAAAATGACTGGTAAGTCTAATACAGTAATGTCTTGGGGCTTTCTGGATGGATTTTTATTCTCACTTTTAGCAAACATTTTTGGAATATTCAGTTGGTAATAGATGGCACTGAAACTGCTGTGTGCAATGATGAGCTTTCCTTGTCTTTAAGGTGGGTGAGCAAACACATCAAGAAGCCTATCCGCTCCACTGTCCTCAGTCTTGACTGGCATCCAAACAATGTACTTCTGGCAGCTGGGTCATGTGACTTCAAATGCAGGTAAAATGCTTGTGTATCTTAACCACGAACTGGAATGTTGTACACATTTGCACCCGCTATTTCCGTTAGGATATTGAATAGATAAGTGAATGTATTTCCCTTTTGTTGTAATGAAAATAGCTATGTGTAATTACAACAGCACACCTAAGTTGTAACACTTTAATTCATCACATACCAAGAGATCTTTATGTCTGAGGAAATGTTAGATGCACTTGAACGAGCTGCTACTGGGTTTCAGTGAGTTGGTGGACTTTCATTGAGACATGGCAGTAACATGTTGGGCCATGCTCCAGGGTGGTCTTCCTTATCAGAAACGTTGCACTAACTTTGGTACTCGTATCTCTTTCCAAGGGTATTTTCTGCATACATCAAAGAGGTGGATGAGAAGCCAGCTCCAACTCCATGGGGGTCCAAGATGCCGTTTGGCCAGGTGATGGCAGAGTTTGGTGGGGCAGGTAGCGGAGGATGGGTCCACAGTGTCTGTTTTTCAGCCAGTGGGAACAGACTGGCCTGGGTCAGCCATGACAGCACTGTGACTGTGGTGGACCCTACAAAAAGCTCAACGTGAGGATCTAGCACAACTCACTTATTTAATGTTTGAATTTAAAGTTTGCAGTGTGGTTCATCACACATTGGCTACTTTTAATGGGCTACTTTGGACTCTTGCTTTTTGTTTTGCAGGCCAAGCCAACTGAAGACGGAATTCCTTGCTCTCCTGAGCGTGACTTTTGTTTCTGAGAACAATATTGTGGCAGCAGTAAGAACACTTTACATTGTAGTGCACAGACAACCATGATTCTCATGACACTGTGGGGATGCCATGTCTCAGTTTGTACTGTTTTTCCTCTTAAGGGTCACGATTGCTGCCCAATGCTGTTCAGTTTTGATGATGGTGGAACCTTGACCTTCATATCCAAGTTGGACATTCCAAAGCAGAGCATCCAGCGCAACATCTCTGCCATGGAGCGCTTCCGCAACATGGACAAGAGAGCCACCACTGAGGACCGCAATAGCACTCTGGAAACCCTTCACCAGAACAGCATCACGTAAGTCTTAGGCTCTCCTCCTGATGCTGAATGTTATCTGGTTTTCGACACTGGCTGCAGGTGTTGTTTGACATGGGGAAACTTTCAAAGACGTGCGTAAGAGATGGTTAAATGGGGTGAAAACATTCAGCGTTAATGGTTAAAAATGTCTTATTCGTAGTTGGTTTTGCATGTTTAGTGTTCAATGCTGCTTGTACAAATGAGCAGAGCACTTTCCTCTCTTTTGCAGCCAAGTGTCTATATATGAAGGAGACAAAAGAGATTGTCGCAAATTCTGCACTACAGGAATCGATGGCGCAATGACCATATGGGACTTTAAGGTTTGTAATTTTATTTGTTTTGATTGTTTCTCCCCTTGAGCATTGTTTTAATAATGAGTTGTTCGTTTTGGTTTTAGAGTAGAATATGTTTCGTCTCTGTCTTGCATTGGAAACTTGCTTTGAACTTGTTGTCTCATTTTATTTTATCTTTTCTGTCTCCCCAGACTTTAGAGTCCTCTATTCAAGGCCTAAGGATCATGTAAAAGAACTCACTCTGTACTAGCATGACACAGCGCAAGCAATGCAGCTTGAAGACTAACGAGATTTCTGATAACACTTCTGAAAGTTTTTAACTGAAAAAAAAGCACTGAACAGTGGTGTGAGCTGACGTGACACTCTTAAAACGGAAAAAAAAACACTAATGGAAAATGGGGGTTAGGGTCTTTTTTTGTTTTGTTGGGTTTTTTTTTTCTTTTTTCTGTTCTTTTCTTTTTGTTTTTCTCTTTTTTTAATTCTATGCCAAAGCTGGTGCTCCAGCAGTCTGACATTTGATCTTGGTGTTCTGGTCCTTTAGGGGAACCAGAGTGGCGTTAAATTAAAGGAGAATTTTATGTAAATGGTCTGCTAGAAATAAATGAAGTATACAACACAACATTTTGGAATGTAGTCTCATGTGTGTGTCTCTCTGTTTGGTTCAGTACATGTGTTAAATGATAGCAAATGCTATTGTAGCATGCAGAGGAAAACAAATGTTTCCTCATGGCTTAAAATGCACAGCTAGCAAATTCTTGAAACATTTGAGCTATTGATGGGGAAAGTACAAACATTCACATTGGGGAAGTTGTCCCAAGTATGTTTGTTCATATTAACATCCACACACAGAGGAGGCTCATGAGAGGAGCTTATGTTATACATGACTCTGAGCAGGATGTTGAAGGGAGTTGAGCAGAAGGCTGGCCTCACTAGCAGACAGCCGCCCACACAAGGAAGTGGTTATGTGTCTCAAACAGGAAGGGGGAAGAACAGTTTTTTATGTATATAAAGGTCTAAGGAAATAGTTCAGTTCATTGAGAGCCAAGCCAGCGTTTGTGTTGACTGCTCAGAGTCCACGAACTCAGGCTTCTGTTCCACATCTTATCCGCTACACCTCAGGGACGTTTTGTTTAACCATTTCCAGGGTGAGTAGGATAACAGATCTCTTCTTGTTTATCCGAAGCGTAGCAGATTTTAGGCTGCAGGGCGGGTTCTGGTATATGACTTCTAGTGTTGTGAAACTCTACTCACATGAAGTAACGTTACATCTTTGCATAGGAATGTGATAACGGTGTTTCCCACTATAAATAGAATCTTTAAGCTTTGGTAGCAGCATATTTTCTTTTTGTAAAAGTTTTTACAGATGAAACCAGTTCCACTGGTGGAGAGTTTGAGCTGGGAGTGCACTCTCAATGGAAAGTCTGAAAGATGAAAAAGGTGTTTTATGTGTTTTTCTTCTGCAGTTGTCACCAGTGTGTCTGACCTCATGTCACATTCCTTTCTGGTCTGGTTTTAATTTACTGCAAAAGTGAGAGAAAGAGGAAGTTTGCAGCTCCGAAGGCCAGTGGGGAGTTTTTAGACAGAAACTAAATTTGAACTAGACATGGAGGAATTGTGTTTATGTGCAAATCAAACATTGTAGAGTCAACTAAATGAGGAAGTTCTGAAACTTCTCTTTTCAGAGCTGCTGCTCTTTCTTTGCGGAAGCACAGGAGCATGAGCAGTCTTTTTTTGTTGGGTTGATACAGTTGGTTACAACGTTGCAGGGTATAAGAAGGCACTGTAATTCCTGATCTCCTGATGCTTCTAATTTGCAGAGACATTAGCCATGGCTTACCACAGCTTTCTGCTAGAACCCATCAGCTGCCATGCCTGGAACAAGGATCGCACTCGTAAGTTCAGCTGTTCTGCAGCATCTCTGAATGGTGTGGGATCTTAAAAGATGTTAAACTCACCATAGAAACTGTCTGTACACATTGCATACAGGTAGAACATATGCTAAGGCAATTGGTGGTGACATTGATTTTGAAATGAGGCTGTTTACTGGAACATCTGGTCTCAGGCCAGGTAACTCCAGGTATTTCCTCTGGACTCAGGAGGAAGCTGCTGGATTTTCATATGCGTTCCAGATTTATGTACTCGGTCCTGATCCTTAATTCACTGTTAAAGCAATTCGTGATGTAGAAGCTCTAAACAGATAGAAGTTAGGCTGTCCTTGCTTTTGGCACAATATAAGAACAAGGCCGGTTTTGTTCAGGCCCTCACTTCTGGGAATCACAAGATGAAGATTTTTGGTGACATATTATTCATAAGTTCCTAAACTAAAAATATTAGTGCACATAGTTACATGACAGATCAAAAAACAATATAAAGAGGGCCTTTTTCATCTCCACAAAGAACAGCAAAACATCATAGATGGTACATCACCGTCTCAAGCATGTGCCGTGTGCTCACAAGTGAAGTACCATTCAATCCCTGAGAGCCAGTTGTTGTTTTAATACAAGGTTCTGCTGAGTTCACCATTCTCCAAGAACCACAGTCCACGGTGCTTTATCTTCGCTGCCAAACAAGACTTTCAAACTTGGATTAGTCAGGTTTTTTTGCTCCCCTCCCTGTGCTTTCTCAGTCATCCCAGCGCAGCTAGAATTAAGCAGCTTGGGAGGAAAAAAGAATTGGTGAAAACCCATCAAACAGAGAAAAATCAGGTCAAGAACAGTTGCCCCTTTGTTCAAAGTGAGCAGAAACTGAGGATAAATGGAGAAAAGGGCAGCGCAGTGTCTTTCTCTGTCGCCACCCTGCTCATTTTTTTTCCCCTCCACTGATGAGAGAAGCAGTAATGAGTAATCCCACCCCTCCCCTCCCACACACACACACACACACACATGCACATACACACTTCCTGTTTTACCATGAATGGTGCTCTGTTGCTAATGTGTGATGTCTTAAGCAGACCGCACGGCCTGAACAGCAAATGAGCTGGCTGCACAGTCTGCAGCAGCTCTGTGGAAACAGCAAGAAGCTTCTGAGCTTGCATACACTGACAAGACTATAAATGATGGAGCACATCTGCTTTGGCAGAATGGAGAAGCTCTGACCCAATCAGATTTCTTCTGGGAATTGTCAGGCTCTTATCTTCTTGCTGCATTCTTCAGTGGATGTTATCAGGTCTTGTAGCTGTTCTGCTTTTGGAAGCAGCGGAGAAGTTATTAACGTGGATTTGGCTTGAGGGAAAAAAGTGTCAGAAACCACACAAACAAGGCTATATGAGATTATTTAACTATTCAACATAGTTTGAGGCAAGTGTGAAATTACTTAGTCATGCAGTTTGCATAATGCTAATTGGTAAATATAAGCTTCCTCTTATCGCTTGTTAGCTACATTTGCTTTTTAGCCACAGTGCAAAACTAAAGAAGCAAACTTTAGACACCAAACATGTCTTCGCTGATCATTTGCATTTGGGCTAAGGATGAAATGGGATACATTAGATTTTTCAGTTTTTAACCTCTAGAAATTGCAGTTATCATCATTAATAACAAAAGCATGTTGTAAATATTACTAATTTCTTACTCCTGGCCAAAAGGGAACCGTCAGAGCCCTCTAGGCCTACAGTTTTGGTTGGAAACAGTTCTTAAAACGGCTAGTAGAAAAGTGTCTAGACAGAATTTTTTCCCCTAGTATCTCAGTAGATATAGCCGAGTGAGCTCCCCCATTGGTTAGGGCTTCAGGAGCTGAACTGAAGGCCTAATGTGTCAGAATAACCAATAACTTAATTAGGAACTGACAGTGGAATCAACTAATCATGTTTTGATCTATATATACTGGGTGTGACCAATTTTATGAGAAGAAACTTCGCTCTACACCTTCTAGAAGTCCTAGATTAATCACAAACTGTGAATATGAGAAGGCTGACCAATGCATTTCATTAGCATTAGCATAAAGGTCCCTGCCTGGCACTTAATAGTCATGGTTTGCCATTGCTTCTGGCATGTTGATGTAAGCACAGAAAATCCTTCATATTTTTGCCCTTTTTTGTCATATTTTGAAATTTAAGGAAGCATATAGATGTAGAATGTTAATTGAATGTAGATGTATTTCAGTATGTAAGCTAATTATGTTATTAACTAAGTAATTATATAATTACATTTAAATAGTGCAGCAAAATTATCAAAATAACATTACACTTCTAAGAAGTAAGCATATTCCACAAGGCAAACACATGTATTCTCTAATTACTTTGCATTTCTGCTTTGTTTAGAAATTGCACTGTGTCCCAATAACCATGACGTTCATATCTACAAAAAGGAGGGAAATGGCTGGACGAAAACGCATGTGCTCAAGGAGCACAATGGGCAGGTGACTGGTGAGTTGTGCTGTCATGGTCTAAATCATAAACCTACAAAGGTGAGTCCAAGCTACATCTTAACAGTCACGCTTCCTCTGTCTGGCAGGTATCGACTGGGCTCCGGAGAGCAACCGCATCGTCACCTGTGGCACTGACCGTAACGCCTATGTGTGGACCCTGAAGGGGGATGTTTGGAAGCCCACTCTGGTCATCCTCAGGATCAATCGTGCTGCCCGCTGTGTGAAATGGTCCCCCAAAGAGAATAAGTTTGCAGTTGGCAGTGGCTCGCGCCTCATCTCCGTCTGCTACTTTGAGCAGGAGAATGACTGGTGAGCTGTTCTGGTTGATCTGCAGCATTAGCCAGTTTGCTGTAGGTGGTCAGTGGGGCTCATCTGCTGCAGCAGGTTTAATATGAGTTAATCCGCCTAAGAGGCAGATGGGCTGTCTGTCATTTTGAAATTGCTCAGTATAATGTGGCAGAACATGCAGAGCAGTCTATCATTGTGATATACTGAAACATAATAAAATTATACAATTATAAAATTATATACATACATACATATATGCATATAGCTGATAACATGGACAATGAGTTTAGATACAAGGTATGTGTACTTAATAAAGTGCTCAGTGAGTGTATATTGCCAGGATGTCATATTCCTAGGATTCATAGGGACACTGAATGCATTTATTTTACTAGTAGTGTTTTATCAATTTCCACACCTATTGGCTTAAAGATATTTTGTGATATGCAAATGTTTCAGTAAAGGTATCAGTAATCCTCACATTTATGATTCTGATGTATGGCAATTAGTGTGTTAATAATAAGAAAGAAAGAGAAAGATACAGAGCCTCATTTATAAAAAAAAACAAAAAAACATGAATATCCGAAACTTGTTACATTTGGTAAATTCTTAGCATTCATGTGCAAATGATTTATACACAATTTTCATGAGTCTCACACTCTGTCAATAGCACATTCTGAAAGAAGGCTTTGATCTTTGCACATTTTTACGCCACATACATTAGATTATTGCTTAAATGTAAATTTCCATATATATTTTAAGATTGAAGCTGTGCATTGGCCCTATTGTCAAGAGATGGTGAGTTTAATCACTGGCGATGCCACAGCCATCCATGGTCAGGGGCCCAAAACAGCATAATTGGCCGCACTCTCTCTGGGTGGGTAGGATGGCCTCCCTCACGCCTCATCACTCAATATGGGCATCCGTTAGCTGACGTAACAGAATTGACAGTTAGCATTCTTCTCCAAGCTGTTCAATGACGTTGTGTTAACGGCAGTTGGAAAAGATGTGGTGGCACTTCACATGTGCTAGCCTTCACCCCCGCAGCTTGGTAGCATCATGTGATAGAGGGAACTGAGTAACTGAGGTAATCTTGCTCTTCCAGGTGGGTTTGTAAGCACATTAAGAAGCCCATCCGCTCCACTATTCTTTGCCTGGACTGGCATCCCAACAACATTCTGCTGGCTGCTGGCTCATGTGACTTCAAGTGCAGGTTGGGATGAACCACATATGCTGTCCATGTGTTTTACAAATACACTGACCTAAAGGCATGAAGATACAATATATTTGTACTTTATATTATGTAATACATTCATATTGTATTTTTTATATTTAGCAGCATATTCCAATATATTCAATTTTCATATGAGATTATAACAACATGAATCACTGTTAAAAATAACACACAAAACAAAGTTATAGGGTGCTAGTTATCACTACATAAATTAGCAAATGATCACACTAAGCACCCACTGTTTGTTACATCTTTTTGGGTGATGCATTGTCTTTAAATTGTATTTCCTTCCAGGATTTTCTCTGCTTATATCAAAGAGGTGGAGGAGAAGCCTGCTCCTACTCCGTGGGGCTCCAAGATGCCATTCGGAGAGGTGATGTTTGAGTCCACTGGCACTGCCGGCTGGGTGCACGGGGTCTGCTTCTCTGAGAGTGGGAACCGTGTGGCCTGGGCCAGCCATGACAGCACTGTAGCTGTGGCTGAGGGAGGCAAGACTGCTGTGTGAGTTATGTTTTGCCACACCACCAGCAAATAATATGTATATCCCTGTAGTGTACTAGTAGGCCCAACATACTGTTCTTCAGTCCTTAAATTAAAGGCACAAAAATCTAATTTACCCAGTTTTTCCCTTACAAAAATGTAGTGGCTGAACCAACACATGATTACCTGTTTCGTTTTCCTCTGGAACTATGTGGCTAAAGTAGCTAACATGTAAGTTTAAAATCAGCGTGAACTGAAAATCATAAAGCATTTTACTTTGGTACCATGATGCACTTCTGAGTGAAACACGGTGTTGGGGGAGCTAATATTTTTGGTTAACATGATATTATTTTTCATCACCTACTGGTGCACAGTAATGCAATCAACACCCAAAATAGTAATGACATGATATGATGAACTGTGCTTAAAATGACCAGGAATATTTACTAAAAAGGTAAAAAAGGTCAGTTTAAATTTAAGGTTGTTTTATAAAAAAAACTTTAAATCAATCATTCAGCTAAAATTCATATTGACACAAATTTCCCTTTATATTCTGACATACTGTTGTCTACATTAATGGACAAAAATGCAACAAAATTTAGGCTTCAAAATGGGAGCTACTACTGTACTTTGTCTTTTTTATAATGAGAAGTCATACATTAGCAACCACATAAGCAGAAAAGGTTATTTTTTTGGGTTGAAATACATACACTTCTTATACGAAGAACAGACTTCTACATATTTTTGGTGCATAATTATTACTATTATTCATTTTCTTTATTATCTATTTTATTAATTTAACATATTGGATAAAAAAAAACATAAAATGTAGCCTGTGCTACTTTTGCCTAAGCTTTCTTTACTCGTTAGCTACATTAGCCTTGTAGCTTGGGGCAAAACTGAAGAGGCAAACTTTGGGCATCAAACATATTTTAGCTAATCAACAACATGCGAATAAGATATTTATTTTGAAGGAGATCAAAACATAACGTCCACAGAATCAGGAGTGACTGTACCTGCCAGTGCCTTTACATAACATTCATAATGTAATCTCTCCTCTTATTGTATCAGAATTACCAGTCTGTCTTCAGAGACCCTTCCTCTGCTTTGTGTGACCTTCATCACTGAGAACAGCTTAGTGGCAGCGGTAAGTGCTGGTGACCTTCACGACTCATTATTTTCCTGACCTACACTGTAAAAGCTGTAGTTTAATTATCGAATGTGTTTCAGGGCCATGACTGCTACCCTGCGCTGTTCGTCTACGATGGTGAGAAAGGGACTGTGACTTTCGGAGGGAAGCTGGATGTTCCCAAGCAGAGTACTCAGAAAGGCTTGACAGCCAGGGAGCGCTTCCAGAACCTGGACAAGAAAGCCACCTCTGATACCAAAGAGGCTGTGCTGGAGTCCCTGCACAAAAACAGCATCAGGTAGAGTTTGCTTGCTGTCATGTCTGGACATTTAACACACAAAACACTCTGTGTTCCTAATTGTATCGGTCTGTCTCTCGTAGCCAAATCTCAATTCTTCAGGGTGGCAAAGCTAAGTGTGCCAAGTTCTGCACCACTGGAATGGATGGCGGCATGGCCATTTGGGATGTAAAGGTGAAGCTCATCGTATTCTCTTGTTATGATTAGTGATTGCTGTTGATGCATGCATAACAGTACCACACTTTCGTAACACAAGATCATTAAAACATTTTGTTTTCCCTACACAGACCCTTGAATCTGCTATGAAAGACCTGAAGATTGTCTAACTACGGGGTGTCCTACAAAAAGAGTTGGCCACAATATCAACTCCTTGCTGCTTCTATGCAAATATACAGCAATACATTTCAAATCATTGTATGGAAAATTGTTAATCAGCAGTTCTGAAATAGCAAGCTTTTATGCTCATAAAACTGAGGTAATGGGATTTGGACAAACCATGCTGGTATTTGATGCTGTAGTGCATTTCAATTGAATATGCTGGTCATAGAATGCTTTTTATTACTGTGTGCTCTGATTTTTAATAAATCATGTCTTTAAAACATGCCTAAATATCTGACAGCATTGACAGGATGAGGGAATAAAGGGATAAGATGTGGACATATCTAAAACAAACTCTTTGATGATATATTCAACCGGAGATTTTATTTTATCTTTATATGGAACAATTCACATTTTATACAAAAATCATTTAAAAAAAATTATAGTGGCCTACAGTTGTCAGAGCTCAATGGCTGATGAAGAAAGTCAATCAGATAACATTATTATTTGTTCTGGTATACACCATCAGGTCATGCTCAACTGACAATCATGCATAGAAATTGGAGATTTGGGAGCCTCTGGGTTGCTCCGTTTGAGAATTCCGTCTTGTTTGAATGGTGCCGAGTACATAATTCCGTCTCCACTTTGTGCTTGCTGGACATACTGGAGATGATTATGTATCTAGAACGTTTGATTATCACATTCACAAGCCCTCGTCTCCTCTTTACTTCTCATGAGAACTTGGGACCCCTTGAGACTTAACAGCACCACTGACCTGATCTGTCTCAGCTGCCAGACCATGTGACCTAGGCTTCAGCCGTGTTTATTAAATAGATGACGGTCCAGTGGGACGTCCATGGGAACATGCCACAAACATAGACTCATACCATCTAGTCTGCAATTTTTTCCACATCTGTCTGGAAACAGTGAGCTGCACAGTTTTTCCTTCGTGCAATGGAGGATCTTTTTAACTTTCATCAACAGTGTGATCAAAATACAAGCTCCTCTCCTAAACAAGAAGGTGAAGCTGGTTATATCGGTCAATTAGGTACTGACAGTAGCTCTGGGAGAGGGAGGATGAGTTCAGTACAATTCATTTATTAAGCTGAAAACCAAACAATGGCTGGCTTGCTGAGCCTCTTTTATTACATAATATCACAGGGCAGTGTTTCCACACTAACGTCAGCCAAAATCAACACATCAAATCACCTTCATTTCAATTTCAAATGAAAATAATGCTGTTTTTATATCCTTAGTGACACTAAATTCTTCCATTCAATTACATCAGGGTAGGGCAAGACACTGGGGTGACGCAGAGACTTGTAACCTGTTTGTGCCTAATTGGATAACCAAATGGTCCATAAGGTAGTGTGGATATTGGTCTAAAAAACAAGAAGTGCTTCTTTGTGTTATTCAGGCCAAAACTAAAGATGACCCTCAGAAAAGTACAGCCTGTGAATACTGTTTGTTTAGACAGACAAGGTCACCTTTCAAAGTTTTCGTGACTAGTCTGTCAAAGCAACATGGAGGCATCTTAAGCACTGCTAATGGAGGACGATATTCACATCTCGGCGCTAGAACAGCCACAGACGCAGATGGGACAGAAATCACCCCACATTTCCGACACAACGGAAAAACACTGCACAGTATGCAGTGGCATGGCAGGCGTATCAAGCCAGTTAAGCAGTTTTTAAGAAAGAAACACACGCACACACACGTTAAGCGTCTGTCAAGGCTCAAGAGGAGGATGTCCACTGAACATATCGGAACCATCGACACGAGAGCAAATTATGTCTAGCACTCCTATACTTGGCACATGTACATGCAAAGCTACGAGACGTGATGGCTGTAGCTCGGTTTTCTTACTTAGTATTATATTAAAGGTACATCTGGGCATCAAAATTCACCAGATTTTAAAAAGCCACAAAAAGGGGAAAAGAAAGAGAAACATCTATATGTAACAACAGACAGAATGAGGCTACAGCTAGGCTCGCTTTAAAAATGCCCTCTTTTAATCCCTTCTCCACCAGGTCACATGATCATAGCAGCACCAGAGGAGGAAGAAAGTCGCCCCCCTCTGAAATGTCACTCCGTCATCTATTTCCTGCCCCATGGCGTGAGGGAGGGGGGATCTCTCAGTCAGTCTCCAGGATTAGGGGGGGCTGCTCATTTTCCTCGTCCAGATGCAGGGCGTTCATATCATCCTCCACCCCAGCCCCGCCCACTGCACCCTGATCCTCAGAGTAACCTGTCATCAGAGAACCCGAATGTTCAACTGTTAGGAAATGTTAGCAAACGTGAAGTCTCAAAGGCATGAATGTCCAATGAATGAACGTTGAAATATCTGTCCAAAACCAACAGGACCACACTGCTTACTTTGGGCTTTTGGTAATTTCCATAGTGTGTGTTGCGCTTGGACTGGGTTCAAACTTTACCTTTGGGTTCTCACAGCCTAATTTCACTTTGCATTTCCACTGCTTTAGTCTCCTTACTTTACTCTTCCTTAAAATCTTTTATTATCTGACATGCTGGAGTTACCCACTTGCAAGAGAATGGTTGACAGAACCAGCTACATATTCAATGTATTATATGTAACATGTTCTACATAATGAAGTTTGGCATATTTTGGTTTAAAAACGTTCATCGATAAATATATTTAAAATTATTTTTATTGTTTATATGTAAACAGACAGCTGTTTTATTATATTGTTACATTAGCTGTAGGTGCACCGATCATGATTTTTATGGCAAATGTCCATTTTTGGCCAAATTGGTCAACAGATGACACGCCGATATTGATTAGTCTTGATTTTTTTTTCTATCTGAAGCTTACACAGTGTGGGCTAAATGAACACAAAACATACCAACATTTCCAGTTTTTTCTATTAGTCACAGTCACAACATAAATAACATTATTTGCTCTTTTATGCTCTTTTAATCTTAAATTCTTGCAGATTCAAATTTCATATTCAAATCACCATTCAAATCACAACAACTTACCCAGCATTATATGATCAGACTTTATTTAGCACTTTTAGGTGATGATGGGCACGTTTGGATCAGTTTTGGACAGAATTGTGACTGGCTTGGAGTGGACTCGGGCTCAAGTTTTGGTGCTATGGTTCAGGTCAGGTTGGGCTCGAAAAAAAAGTTCTCTGACTACATTCGAGTTCAGACCAAAATTTCTAGCCCAGTTAAAGCTTTAATGTAAAGTTAAACAATTCTTACCTTTGGCAACAGCAGCACTGTAGGTCTGGGCCACGAGTGGACGTTCATGGGCTGTCTGTTCTAAGATTTCATTCGCAGGTTCGGCACTTCCATCTAATCTGTAGGCAACAATCATAATTACTTATGATGTTCACACTTTGACAACCAAAAAAAGAAATACAACTGATGGCAATTTTTTTCAGTATATTCTTCACAACTTACAATTTTGAAAAAAATCTATTTTTCTTTGCAACTGTCTGGCAAACAATGGTTATATTGAATGTTTACAGATATGTTTTTAAAAAAAACCAAAAATAAATAAAAAAAAAGCCATGTGTCCCAAAATAACTGCAAACTCAATCTTTCATTGCAAATGTGATATCACCATGTGCTTTTTTTAAAAACAGGTAGTACTACACTGAACAGGAATTCAGGCATTACTTGTGCTGCTTCATTAGTGTGCACTCTCCCCCTTCCTGTGGGTCTAGGTTGTACAGGTAAAGGTAGCCATCTGCTGCTGCCACCAGAAGCCGTGGAATCTTCTGGATTCTAAACAAAAAGATCATAATTTTAAAATGCTCCATGTTGTGCTACTTGAATTGTTTTTGGTTTTTAATCATTCTTACACGGCAAGTGCACAGATGTTCTTGTGTCCTGAAAATGGCAGTCTGACTGTGGCGAAGGCCCTTCCTTGCGTGAACATTTCAGACACCTGCGCAGGCAGATATGTGGTGGAGGCCATGAGCACTTTCCCAAAATACCCTGTCCAAGTAGTGGGCTCCTCCTGTGGCCTGTGTGTGGAAGAATAGAGCCGTTTACAAACTGCCCTTAACAACTGAGCACAATACTTGCCAACACCAAGTACTAAATCAAAACAATATAGCAACAAAATTATGTTTTTTTTAATAAATGTATTTATAAAATTATGAACAAGTTTCTTATAACAACAAGGTGTTAACAGATTGCAAAAAAAATATTTTGGAAGGTCAGGACAGAGGATTTCACAATAACATTTTTGCAGCTGGGTAAACTCTTCCTCTCAGTAGAAGTTATTTTAACACTTACTTTTCTCTCTGTGTCTCCAGTTTAAAGATATGAACCGTCTCCGTGTTGCTAGAGGCAGACAGATAAAGTCCCTCCATACTGAAGGCCAAGGAGCAGATACTCACACATCTAGCAACAAAAAAAAAAAATTTGAATGTACATCTCTGCCTTAAGTATTACTCATTCGGGCACTTTAATTAAACTTATCTTTTCTACAATCTACAAGACTGGTTTTTCTTGAGGGTGAGGCCGAGTTGCTTTGTGGTGTTTTCTACCTCTTCACTCCCCTCCTAAACTCAAAGAGTTTCTGTCCCTCTGGAATGGAGAACACACGGATGACAGTGCCCTAGACAACAGCACAATAAGACAATTTTATATTAAAAAAAGAAAACCTATTAGAGGCTAAAAGATCATAAATAAAACAACTAATCTAATTTAAAAAGTCTACTTATATCCTTGGTTCATAATGCTGACTCTGAGAAGAAGCTCAAAAATTAGTACCTTCTCAGAAGCTGTGGCAAGTTTTGTACCACTTGCATCAAATGCCAATGCTGCTAGTGGGCTGTCATGAGCAGGAATCATATTAGCAGCCCTCTGCAAAGGAAAAATGGCAGCATTTCAGTGTAATTCACCATTTTGGACGGTGGAGGTCATAATTAAAACATTTCACTGAAACTTACCAAATTAACAGTGTCAAAAACTTGCACTTCCCCTATTGTTGCACTTCCTGGATATGCCAAATAGCAGTTGTCATTGCTGATTGAAAGTGCACATAATCCTGTAATTGAACACAAACAATTTTAAATGTTCTATCAAAAACATAAAGGCCATAAAAACATTTTCACATTTCTGTAATAAATATGATTAACCATGTGTCACATCATATTTAGGCCTCCTATAACCAGCCAGAAAGTTTCAGTTCCAAAAGCATCAATATGGAAATGAAGTACTCATTTCACTGTTCGCTTGTGAAACAAGAACTTACAGTGTCTGTGTAAATGTGAGAAGGCAGGCAGGAAATGCAGTACTTTAAGCTGCCCAGCAAAGTGTATCAGGAAACAGGGGGGCACAGCTAAAAAGTGTTCATATAAAGTCCCTACATGTAAAGACCAATATGAAACTAATACATTCAACATATTCACTGGCCAGAAAATGGCCTCTTGTCATGCCGTTAGCAACACTTCTGAAAATACACAACACTTGTGGTCTTGAAGCTACAGCACCATCTGCTGGATAAAAACTCAGCTATCTACAAACCTGATGGATTTGGAGGAGTTTCTCGAATTGTATGTAGTACTTTCATATCCCTGATATTGTGGATATACAGTGATTCTTCCAGACATACTATCAATCTCTGTTTCAGAAAAAAGAAAAAGAAGATACAATAACAGATTTACATATACACATTACACAATATACAATATAAATAAATAACATACAAATGCATTTGTACACAATAAGTTCCACCTGGTTTGTCTGAAAGCCTGTTAACCCCACAAATTTAAACCCATTTACAATTTTTAAAATGAGGATATGAACTGAGAACTGCCTGACGGTATGCACTGGCACCCACAGTACAGAAATAGTAAATAGAGGAACTAAGAAACTGTACAAATGGAAAATAAACCCTTTATAGCAACAAAAAGTATGCAAAGACACAATGTATCTGTACTTACTTGTCTGTTCAGTTTTACAGCCAGTATAGTGTTGGAGTAGCTGTAGTTACATATCTCCGTCCCCTTCTTGAAGTGACACACTTTGAGCTTCCTAGGTGCCTTAAGGCTAACAATAGCAACAAGGCTACTGGAGAACAGTCGTTCCACGATGCACACATCTTCTGTGTCGGCTACAGAAAACAAACAAGACAAATGTTCTCAAATGTTTTTTTCAGAAGTCATGTAAAAGCAAAAAATGACAAAGATGACAAGTACCACATCATCTACAGGAAACAAGACAGATAAAGCAATTAAAAGTGCAGTGTGTAAGATTTAGTGGCATCTAGCAGTGAGACTGCAGGTTGCAACCACCTGATTACCCCTCCTTCACCCCTTCATTTACAAGCATGCAGTAAAACCTACGGTGGCCGTCAGGTGTTCTGTCACTGCCTGTCCTAATTTCGTTTTTTTATGTTGACGACAAGGATTCACTTTCTCTTCTGCTAAATAATAAGTACGATCCTCCATTTGTCAAAAGTTCTCAGACTTCTTACAACACAAAATAGTAAGCCAGCAACAGCACCAACCACTGATTCTTCTTTCTATGTCTATTCTTATTCTAAGTCTTACACACTGCACCTTTAATACAATGTAAACTCAAGGTGAATGGCCTGGCAGTATCGTTTTGAAGATGCTATACAGTCAAACTGTGTCGTAATAATTACGTGTAGGAATCCCAATGCGCCACAAACAGTGTTACAAAGAGAGAACTGCCATGCATGAAAATGACAAGAAAACAGAGTTGTACGACTGTAATAACATCATTTGAAGGAGCTCTGGATCTAACAACTGTAACTACATTTGTGAAGTACAGCCCTCGTATGCTGTCAAGAACAAATAGCAGGAGAGATACTTACTACATTCATAAATCTGTTCCAATTTGTCCACCGATGACAAAGAGAAAAATTTATATCCAGATTTAGTACCAACTGCTAAGGACCTAGGTGGGAGAGAGAGGACATGTTTAAAAAAGTTTTCTATAGTAGTAACCTAAAGACCTGGCTACACCAATAGCTTGTTGACAGCGGACATGTAACGTTACACAAACTGATTGCAAAATCTTCCTAACACAATGACGTCTAACCTTTAAAAAGACGAACAAAGAACAACGCTGCCTTCGCAATACATGACAATTTGACTTAAACGTTTGTGTTAAACGATATTTTTATTATAAAGTTAACGTGCTACCTTTCACTTGCCTTATCTAGCTAGATTACTTAGCTACTAGCTACATGTTATAGCTAGCACGCTAACCGCTAAGTTAACCACAAACTGCCAAACAAATTAGGGCTGACTAATCGCTTTAGCGCTTGCGGGTAAATTTGGGAAAAGGGAATTTAGCCAGCTAACGTTCACTAAACTTAGTTAACCTACCGAAGCGTCTGTGCGATATCGGCCTGGATACACTAAAATACGTCCATGTCCGTAGACCTACGTTTTAGCTAACTTCATTAGCTGACCACAAACTCAAAGTTGATAAGCAGGCAGTATGTAGCTAGTGAGCTAACGGACCGCACACACATCCAGCAACAGCACAGTCCTCAGGTGAATTCATGTAGCTAGCTTATAGAAGCTAACGTTAGCTGGCATGTGTGTAGCTCAGCTCACAAGCGGAGATGACAGCTAACGTTAGCTTACATGTTTATCTATCTAACCGTAACGCACATTTTGCTTGTCTCGTTAACGTTCATACATTCGTCTGCGTGACTTTTAATAAACGTGCTTGTGAGTAAACGTTTCAGGAAAAGAAAAACAGGCCTCTGCTCTTCTGCTGAGGCAGTGCCAATGAGATCGTACGTTACAGTTTACTGGCGCAGGTGCTAATGCAAGCTAGCTAACTAGCTAACGTGCTGCCAACTTTTTGGAGTTACCTAACCCAGTCATACAGCCTCTTTTAGCACGAAGTAAAATGTAAACTTAGGTTAGACCAATTCAACACTACGTTACCGAGCTTGGCGCTAATTAACTGGGTAAAGGCCATAATAAAATGCCAACTGAAACTAGCTAACTTTAGCTGACGCAGCCTCGCAGCTAGCTCCTCTGGCAAGGAGCTGAAGGGGAAGGCCCCCCATCCATCCCCGATCCCCACAGCCATTCCCTCCCTTCACTCTTACGTGTTATCCTGATTAAAGTTGGCGAAGAGGAGCTGGCTGCAGCCGGCCTCTCCGCTCTGACTGGCCAGGTTCATGAGCACGGCACCATCTACAAGTTCAGTCGAAATTGAAATAGCCGTAAATGCGGGTAGGTTTTTTCACGGTAGGTCCAAAATCCCTGATCACTTCACAGAGTCATTGAGTTCCACCCTTCTTCTCCCAATGAATGTTGTTGTTTTTCTCTCTCAGTGTTGCTCCCTCCTCATGCGCAGTGCGCAGTCAGTTCAGCATGCGCCAGCTCCGTGAGATTTAAAGACACAGACACAGAGAGCGAGACATGTCAAACGGAACGTAGACCTGAGACCGCATTCAAACTAGATTTAAACTACGGTTGGCTGAGTCTAAAACCGTACTGTACCACACTATAGCCCATAGGGGGCCGTGGTTTAAAAAAGTAATAACATCGAAGTTACACTGAACTTACACTGATAACATTGCGTTCCCTCGCAATATTTTTTGCCATCGCAAGAGAAAGCAAAAAGTTTGCGTGAGAAAGCCAAAATTTTGCAAGGGAACGCAATGTTGTTGCAATTTTTTTTTGTAATGACTCTTTAGAGGCTCTGTCAGTAGCAATTTAAGGGGCTAACGTGGGCTGAAACCCAAGGGACCTAAGTAATTCCCGCTCCCTATGTAGATATGAAGGGCTAATTCTACAAAAACCCAACGATTCTTAGTTACAGGTAATTAAACACTAATGACTTTTGAGTTAAACAGGCCGTTTTTTATTTTTTAATGAGATTTATTTATTCCTTTTACCAACATTGATAACAGGAATAACCAATGAAATGGGGAAGAATATTTATTAAGGCGACTTTTTAAGATAATAAATTTTGATTTGTTTTCAGTGAGCACTGTCACAGAATTATGGCCAATCACAGCTCTGCCTTCTTTTCTTAGCCCTCCAATCACTGCACAGCAGCCGTTGCTATCCGCAATTGCAAGCTCAGCTCATTATGAGTGCCCGTGTTTGAATCTGAAGCTCCAATTTTCATCTGAAAGATTGAACCGAGGTTCTGTCCTGTAAAGTATGTCGATTTCTACCATCATTGTAATCAGTTTTCTGTAAATTTGGTACCTACAATGCGCTTTTTCTACAAGGGCTGAAGTGGGCTTTGTGAAAATGTTAAAGCAAACATTTATCAAAGGTAGCTAAGAATAAACATTTTGGATGCCTTCCGTGGCCAAATGCTTTACTGACGATGATTAGGTTTAGGTTTTTAAGTCATGTCGTCTTCTTTGGGTCCGTGCATTTGGAAATTGTGTCTACCAAGTTAGCTTAGCCACTTCTCACAGGACTACCCAATGATTTATGTCTGCCTACGCTGCTGGATCAAACGATACGCTACAGCTTGTTGTAGACCACAAAGCTGAAGTTAGCTTTCCTATTTGCCAGCTTCTTGTTCAAATTTCCCAGCTTCACCTTAAATGGCACCACAATGTAACTGCTGCACCATTTAAGGTGGAAAGGGAAAACTGGATCAAGAACCTTCCAAAAAAAGACAGAGATTCTAGCTTCGTTGGGCCATTCAGTTTTCTGGTGATGTTGGTGGTTTTACTGAATAAACTATACCGCACACCAGTGGAGAAGCGTCATGGGACAGATTGGACGAATCACTGTTAGCTAACGTATATGAGCTCATGTTGAAATTCAGTTCACTTCAATTTCAAACCTTGACCGACTATGGCTTTTAGTGGTTTGGTTCTGGATTTGAGGTTGATGATGCTAAAACTGGCTTCCTGTTTGCCAGCTTATTATTGAAATTTCCTGTTCCACCTTAAATGGCACAGCATTTGCAGGTGCCAGTATGCATGTGGCACCATTTAAGGTGTAACATAAAATTGACAGATAAGAAGCTAACTTAAGTTACTGCTTCTACTTTGTTCTTTCTCTGAGAACTAGGGGTATAACGAAAAATCGGTTTGCATGAGAAAACCGAACAGCATACAATACCATATCATTTTTTGATACGAAACGTTTTTTCAATAGTTCATACAGTTACATTGATTTGCAAGCCTGTGGGCGGGTCAGCTTGAAAAGGAAAGTGGCTAAAAACTAGTAAGACTGTCTAAAAGCTAAAGCTATAACACAAAATGGTTAAGGTAGATATTTTTGAGACTGTTTTATGATAGTTTTAGAAAAGGTTTGGTCTGAAATTATATTTTAAAAAATCCATTCAAGGTGGAGAGCTACATGCAGTGCATAAAGAAAAAAAAAGTACAATCAAGAAAACTTATTTTTTCCTAATTTACAATTGTTTGTTTGTTATCAACATTACATATAAAACTCTTGTATAAGACATGTGGAGGTTTACTGGTATATTTGAACAGTAAATAAAATTGCTATATTTGTGCTATAAACATTGCGACACTTGGTTCCTATCACCACTGTTGTAAAAAAAAAGGTCGGTAAGTTAAAATTAAGCACAAAGCCTTGCAGTCTCGATAGACAAACACTGGCAGTAGAATGAGTCATACTAATGACTTTAAACATGGCACTGTCATAGGATGTCACCTCTGCCACAAGTCAGTTTGTGAAATTCCTGTCTTGCTAGATCTGCCCGTCAACTGTAAGTACTGCTAATGTGAAATACAATCACCTAGGAGCTTAGCCATGAAGCAGTAAAATATTACCTGCCTGACTACGTTGTGCCAAGTGTAAAGTTTGGTGGAGGAGAGATAATGTTATGGGGTTGTTTTTCAGGGGTTGGCCTAGGACCCTTAGTTCCAGTGAAGGGAAATCTTATTGCTTCAGCAAAGCAAGACATTTTGGACAATTGTATGTTTCTAACTTTGTGGGATAAGTTTGGGAAGGCCTTTTTCTGTTCTAGCATGACTGAGCCCCAGTGCAGAAAGCAAGGTCCATAAAGGCATGTGATGAACTAGAACGGAGATTGTGAGTCAGGCCCTCTCGTCCAACATCAGTGTCTGACCTCACAAATGCTCTTATGGATGAATGGGCAAAAATTCCCATAGACACACTCCAAAATCTTGTAGGAAGCTTCCCAGAGGAGTGGAAGCTGTTATAGCTGCAAAGGGGATGAACTCCATATTAATGCCTATAGATTTAGAGTGGGATGTCATAAAAGCTCCTGAAGGTGTAATGTGTAGGTGTCCCAGTACTTTTGTCCATATAGTCTATCTGAAGCCCATTTCACATATGCACAGGCATTTGATGGTCATTAAACGGGCAGGCGTTCAATGTGAACTCAAGCTGGAGTCAAAATTCTGGTAAAGTTAACGCAACAATTTACCTGCACAAGATCTAGTACAATACCCAGCAAATTACTGGGAGGGCTCACGTGTGAACAGAAGCTGATACTTTACCGGAAAACAGCATTTAGATTGCAGCTGGTAAAGTTGAACATTTCTGTTCTTGTTTTACAGTTTAATATTTTTGTTTAGCTTTGTGAGTGAAACATTACAGTGGTGTATTTTACACACAATTCTAAAGAGAAATGGAAAAAATCAACCCTGAATACCCCTAAAAATATCCCCAAAATATCCTGTGTTTTGGGTGTGCCAAGGGCTTTGTTGACTTTATACCTCAGTGATGGAATTATGCAGACATTCTAAAATATTGGTGGATTTCCACTTTAACAGGCTCTCTTTCAAACTACACTGTAAGTTTTGGGGATTTGGAGACCTCTCTGGTGGAAATGTGTAATTGCATGCAAGATGCAGATGAACATTTTGTAACATTTGTTGTGCGTCGGATTTCTTCCCCAAGCAGAATCTGATGATTGTAAGCACTCTGAAAGAGTGTTCAAAGAGAACTCCTCAAAACCTGGTGAACAACAGCTTCCATTAATGTAAGTGAATTATCAACTATTGTCATCTTATCTTCATTAGTATAATGTTGATTTGAGACTTAAACATAGAGCTGGAACCTCTTTTTGAGAGGGTTTACTTTTTAATTTTTACCAAAAACTTACACACTGCAGCTTTAAGTATGTTCTATATTCTCTGTAACTGGAGATATTTAAATGGCTAATAGGCTCAGCAGATAACTCAGCTAACAGGCTCCTGCACTAACATTTAGAGACAGACTTTAAGGTCAAATCTTTCCTAAAGAAGTTACTGTACTGTAACTTTAAATATACAAATATACAGAGTAAAGAAGATAATTATCTCTTATAAGCTTCAAATGCCTGTGGTTTAGACTGAACTGCCTACTGTTAGCTTCAGTAGCATAAATAGGATCTTAAGGGCCCCATTATAAAAAAATAATGGGCCACCCATACGAAAATTACGTTAAATGAATTGAAAATTGACAATATGCATGTTTATTCTGTTTGTTAGATGAATAAAGCCAGATTAGCAAAAGTTTGGTTCCTGACTTTTTGCTGTACTCCAGCCAATGTTCAGTTTTAGTAGCAGCACCTCATTTAATGAAGGATTGATTTGGTAACCTTGGTATTAGATAGTAACTGTGATACTGGAGGGCGGCTTGTTGGCGCAGTGGGTAGTGCTGTCGCCTCACTGCAAGAAGGGCCTGGGTTTGATTCCTGGCTGGGTGACCAGGGTCCTTTGTGTGGAGTTTTCATGTTCTCCCTGTGTCTGCGTGGGTTTCCTCCCACAGTCCAAAGACATGCAGTCAGGCTAATTGGACATGCTGAATTGCCCCTAGGTATGAATGTGTATGTCTTTCTGTCTGCCCTGCAATGGACTGGCGACCTGTCCAGGGTGTATCCTGTCTTCCGCCCAATGACAGCTGGGATAGGCTCCAGCACCCCACCGTGACCCAGAAGGATGAGTAGTTTAGATGATGTGTGTGTGTGAAATACTGGAATTCCTTGAGGAGAGCTTTGGAAATGGTTTAACTAACACACATCAAATCACAATGGTTTGTTTGTTTGTTTATTTATAGTTATTATAGTGTTTGCCAGCTAGTTCTACAACAAATAGAGAGATCGGGGGCAGAGGGGCAGGGGGTGGGTTTTGTTCACATAATAGTGGAAGTGGATGCGCTGTGCTTTATTTCGTTAATCTTTAGGACAACTGACCTGGACAGCCCAACTGACAGGTCAGGCTGAAAGTCTGGAAAAGTCTCCAGGCACTCCTGATGGGCAGCCCGAGCCTGGAGGGGCCCAATAAAAAAATTGTATTCCTAGACACTATGGGCCTCCCTCCACCAAGGGCCCCCTGCCCCCAGGTAGTTACCCCAATGGTTAGCTTGGTGCTAACGCAATATTACAAATTACACTAGCAGAAATTAGCATTATCGTAGCACTGGTAACTGAATGAACAAAACCTACTCATGAATTAAATTAAGTTTCTGCATTACAAAATGCTATATGATAACATGCACAACTATCACATATTTATAACAATAATAAAATTATTCAAAATATAAGTCATTTGGATGTCCTCTGTGAGAGATATAAAGCGATCCCCTTGGAAATGCTTGTGTTTTAAACCATCTGCTTAATCTATATGAACTAAATATGCCTGAGTCTAGCTCTCAGTGTAAACAAAAGTTCATGAAGCCACTGGAATATCCCATACTTTATATTTAATACTCTTTCATTTTTATACAGCTGTTATAGTCTATTGCTTAAGCCACGTTACAGACTCAATATCATGGTTTACAGTTACTGTGATTCACTCTAAAATATATCACAGTATGGAGGGAAAATGCATTTGAATGCATGAAAATGAAACGAAAATGCATGATTTCTCATTCATGCGGACTTCAAGGAGCCACATTTGAAAACGAACACAGGGTGTTTCAATACACTTTGAAATGAAATGAACTTAATCATATTGGATCAGACTTTAATTGAATGCTTGGAGCTGAACTGAATTGAAGTATATCAAAGCATTACTTGTTTAAGTGTGTCATATCATTTAAAAAGTGGAAGACACACACCCACTGCTGAGAAATTTTATGTATACAGGACCAACTCAGCTGGAGAACAACAATTCAGTCTGTTAAAAACCACTCACCAAAGTTCAGTTCACTGACTAAAAATAACAAATTCACTTCACTGTCTTCTCAGCTAAACACCAAAGCCCAGTACTACTGTTCTCAGAGCCTATACTAAAAATTACATCTATGATAAACAAGATACATCAGATTTCTATTGTTGATGGACACTGGCTTTCTTATTGTTTGAAATCAGGGAAGAACATTGTTATTTTTTCACCTCCTTCAGCTGATGTAGCCCTGCAATGAAGATGTATAAAGGTAAAGATATTGGCTGTTGTACAGGGCTTATATTCACATTTCATTGTTCTCAATACATTAAAGTTGTGAGTTCACCGAAATATCGTGGTGTTTTTGAGTTCTAGCTGCTGTTCAGTGGGCTTTGTCAGGTGTGTGTTAATAGTGTGTTAATTTAACTTCAACATATACCACCATCTCACAAGGGCTGGTGTTTTGATCATGATTCTAATCATTTTAATCATGTTATTCATTTTTCTCAGGAGATATTTCTGAGGAGATCAGATATAAGACAAGCCACTCGCATAAGGAAGGGAAAAGTCAAAGGAAAATAACTGAAGAAATAGGAATTTCCAAAGCTCAAAACGGTATAGAGAAAATGCCACTCTTAAGAGCCGTGCAAGACCTGATAGACCACCAAAACTGTCACCATCAGATAAACAGTACTTAAAGCGTTGATCTTTGAGAGCGAGGTAAAAATCAAGCTCCACTCTTGCTTTGGGAATGCTTGTATAAAATATGAACCTACAGAATGATTTGATGTGTGATAAGAACTTAATTAGTCTGCCATCAGGGTAAGGAGACTGATCTGACAACCATCTGTGCTAGAGACTCCAACAATGTTTGATTTTTATCCCAGAGCAGATTTTGACCTGTAATGTGCAACAGCGTGCCAAAGCTAGAGATCACTCTTCATTTATAACCCTGTTTCCAAAAACAGGGTTGGGATGCTGTGAAAAATGGAAATAAAAACAAAATGCAATTATGTGCAAATCATTTAAACTCTATATTGAATTGAAAATAGTACAAAGACAACATGTCAGATGTTGAAACTGAGAAATTTTGTAGTTTTTTGAAAAATATACGCCCTTTGTCAATTTGATAGTAGCAACATGTTTCAGAAAGTTGGGAGAGGGACAACAAAAGATTTGTAAAGTTGTGTAATGCTAAAACACACCCGTTTGTTAATTGGCAACAGGTCAGTAACATGCTTGGGTATAAAAAGAGCATCCCAGAGAGGGGTTTACCACTATGTGAAAGACTGCATGGGCACATAGTGCAACAATTCAAGAATACTGTTTCTCAATGTAAAATAGCAAAGAACTTGGGAATTTCATCATCTACAGTACATAGATTAACAGACAAGATTAACAGAATCCAGAGAAATCTCTATATGCAAGGGACAAGGCTGAAAACCAATATTGGCTGGCCATGATCTTTGGACCCTCAGGCAGCACTGCATTAAAAACAGACATGATACTGTGATGGAAATCACTGCACAGACTCAGGAACACTTCTGAAAACCATTGTCTATGAACACAGTTCACCTCTCCATTCACAAATGCAAGTTAAAACTCTACCATGCAAAGAAGAAACCACTTATAAACAGGATCCAGAAACACCGCCGCCTGAGCTCATTTAAAATGGACTGAGGCAAAGGAGAAAAGTGTCCTGTGTTCCAACAAATCAAAATTTGAAATTCTTTTTGGAAATTATAGACACTGTGTCCTTCGGGCTAAAGACCACCTAGCTTGCATTAGTGCATATAGCATGGGTTACTTGCACATCTCTGAAGGCACCATTAATGCTGAACGATACATTACGGCAACAAATGCTGCCATCCAGATGACGTCTTTTTCGGGGAAGGCCTTGCTTATTTCAGCAAGACAATGTCAAACCACATTCTGCATGTACTGCAACAGCATTGCTCTATAGTAAGAGTTAGGGTATTAAACTGTCCTGACTGCAGTCCAAACCTGTCACCCATTGAAAACATTTGCCGTATTATGAAACAAAAATACGACAAAGGAAACCTTGAACTGTTGAGCCGCTGAAATGCTATATCAAGCAAGAATGGGAAAACATTTTACTTTCAAAACTACAGAAACTGGTTTCCTCAGTTCCCTTAGTGGTAAACATGTCCCTGTCCCAGCTTTTTTGGAACATGTTGCTGGTATCAAATTAAAAAAGTGCATACAGCTTTCAAAAAACAATACAATTTCTCAGTTTCAACATTAGATATGTTAACTTGTACTCTTTTCAATTAAATATAGGGTTTACATGACTTGCACATCATTGCATTCTATTTTTATTAACATTTTGTACAGTGTCCCAACTTTTTTGGAAACAGGGTTTATATAATATTGTAACAGGGTTTGTATAATATTTAATAAAAGGATGTGTAGCTGTCAATAAGTTGTTATTGAAAAAGGGAATAGGCAACAAAAGCAGCATCTGCTAATCAAACAAAGAGGCTGCTGGTGTTCTCAGAACAAGACTGACCACTCCTCATCACTGAATGAGTGTGGGATTTTTTGTATTGTCAAAAGCAGAAAATGCAACCAATTTCGAAGACTGAACTTTGGGGTTGTGGACAAATATCCCTGCAGATTAAAAAAATAGAAAGCAAGTCTCCTGAAAAGAATGGAAAAAGAATGGAAGGTAAAGAATGGACACTCTAAATACTAAAACAAAATGTATTATATTTAGTTGTGGGGGCTGCTGTGTAATTATCTGTAAAATATGTGATTTCTGCTTTTGCCCCTAATGCTGAAAACCGAAACACTTAATTAATACTTTATTATGTGAAAATGAAATAAGTGGTCTCTGTCTTTTGCACAATACTGTACGTGCTATTACATATGTACATGAAAAATGCCGAATATATGAGAGGTGGCAAGCGTTTTTAACGAAACATTTGATTTCGCAGAATGCCTTGGTTGAATCTTAGGTCGAATTTTGTTTTGCTATTTTATACTACTGTACTGTGCGTTCACATGTCGATGTTTGGCTTTGGCCAACAGGGGGCGCGTCTGCTTTAATCAGTCCATCATCTGCACCTTTAACAGTTATGTAGATCTAATTATTGTCTGTGCGACATAGAATTGATTTCTAATAAATGTCTGTGAAACACTGACTCCAGAAAGGCTAAAGATCTCTTCTCTCCCAGTTTCTGTGGAGGGAGACGCTGAGTCCTAACTCCAACATCCAAACACAGCAAAGGTTCAACGTTTGAACCGCACAGTGTACAAATGGGACTCATCCTCAGAAGGGTTTGGAATCTCGAGGAAAGCAAGTGATTATAAAAGTGAAAAATAAACACATAAACGAATAGCCAGGTAAACAAATAGCCTTGCCAAACGTAAAACTTTCTCCATCCAGATCAATATCACCTAGATCACTGTGTCCCAGGGCTTTATGCGCTGTGCAGTTTGCTGAAACTTCGCCTTTGGTCAGTTGATAGTGTTTGATGTGAAGTGCCGGCTGTTTGCGCTGCGCTGTGATGATGGAGAGCATGTTTGCTGTGAGGACTTCACTGTTTGACCTGGGGAGGAGGGGGGAGGTAGGTGGTGGGTGCGGAGGGGCGGGAGGCGACTCACTACAGCCTTATCTATCAACCCTGCTCAAGACGGCGCTCGCGAAATGGAGCGGATAGTATCGCTGCCGGGCATTAGCGTTTCTTTACGACCGTGTTCAGGTAGTTTGAGACGAAAGAAAGTCTTCTCGTGTGGCAGCTTTCCGTCCGGCGGCTGGACGGAGTGAACATCCGGAGCTAAGTCGCCTTTTCAGAAACAACCAGCAGACAGACTCGACAGAGAGCTAACATGTTCAAATGTACACAGTATGGATTTTAAGAAGACCAAGTATGGAAGGTAAATTGGATTCTGAGAGCTAAAGGTGTCTTCTTTTTCTTCTTCATTTTCTTTTTTTGTGTTCTTCTTCGTCAGTCACGATAGTGGCTATAACCCGTCTTGTGTGAATTGTAGTGTCTTGAGTGAAGTTAGCATCACTTTTACTCAGTGGTGTCTGCTCGCCGCTGTAGGTTATTTATGAACACCTCATGTCGTCAGGTAATAAAACTGTTTCCAGAAGCTCTAACTAAGGACACAGAGTGTTGTCTGCAGTCCTAACCGCTTATTCCTCAATTATAACATCACGACGACAGGTTTATTGCTTGTTGATGATGTTTCAGTCCGTTTCCAGGAGGGGACTCCACTACAGTACTCCATAAAAAAGTCATTCAGTGAAAAATGTGAAGAATCTGCTCTGTAGAACTGAGGGCCATATATCAGAGTGGACAAAAGCAGAGAAACAAGAAAGAAATCAGGTTTCCAGATAGCTCAGATACACATGGGATTGTCTTCTGTCAGAATAAATGCTCCTTTTTTGAAAAGACTAGTTCTCTTAACTTGAAGACATTTTGTGATACTGTATGAGACAATGGAATAGTAATATTACTGTAAATAGCCTATGTATGATTCAGTGGGTTGAAGAATACTGATCTCTAATAGGCTAGTAAAACTGAATAATCTGGCTGGTTGTGAGTGGATTTATTTTGCTTGAGATCCAGTCCCTGTAGAGGATGTTGACAGGATGGGGGAAGCTTCCTTCAGGACAAGCAACACTTTATTTTTATTGCCAAAGGCAATTTTCCCTTCTTGGTCTGACAATGGGTTGAGAAAGTTGTCATTTCTTTCAGTAGTGGCCTCGATGTGATCTTTCAGAGGCACTTTTCAGGTGTGTTAACGTTTAAAACTTTGTTGATTGTTCCACTTTCTCCAGTTTCTTTTCCTCTGTGCAGGGCTTTAGAGTAGGTGTAATGCACTGATATCTGAAGGATCCATTTTTTATTTTAATTACATTTTTTTTAATGAAAAAATAACTTTTTAATAGTCAGTTGGGGAAAAAGTAACCAAAAAGCCATCCATGTCAGTCTGACATTTAGTGCATCGTATGAAGTTGTGAAACAAATTTAATTTGACCTTCAGCTCAGACCTTTGAATCAGTTTGTTTAGATAAATACCTCAGAGGTCAAGTAACTAAAGTTGTTGAATCCTGCGTTTTCCGTTCAGTAACATCAGATTACCTGAGATTTACTTTCTCATTGTTTACGCTACCTTTAAAAGTCTTTCAGGGGTGGCCATGCAAAGGTCTTTATAGTCCTTCTGTTACTCCCTTTAGACCTTTGACATCATCTGTGTGTATGTATTTGCATGTATGTGTTTTAGTGGCCTATAAAACCTACAGCTGGTTTCAAATACATGGATTAAAAGGGAACTTCACCAACTGTTCAAAATTTTTGCATAATTCAGGTGTAGACAATGTCATTCAGAGTGGTTTGATGTGAAATGGTGCACTGTAGAAACGTATGATGATGGAAACCACGGTCGCTATGTGTACAACATAAACATAGCCATTTCATTTACAATCCAGAACAATGACTAAACCTACGTGTGTGTTGTGATTTTTTATGTAATGTTAACAGTGATAAATTAGTGGGAAATTTTAAAAAATAAGTTGTCTGGGGAGTATTTTTTTCCTTACAACACCAATCAGTGCAGTTCAATCAAATGAATGGATTTAAAAAATATGTTTTAGACCAAAATCTTGTCTCAGAACTATCATAAAACAATATCTCAGGTATCAGGTAACATTTGCAACCATTTCATGTTACAGCTTTCTGTCAGGAAGCTTTTAGAGACATTAAACTCTTTAGACGTCTGGTTCCTATCCCCATTACTGTGAACAAGTCTGACTCAGCAGGCTTCCCTAGAACAGAGCATTTCACATAAACCATTCTGTATGGCTTTGTTTACATCTTAACTATTTAATTTTCCTGAAATGAAGAAAAATGGGTGGAATTAGCCATTAAGTCTCATCTTTGGACTAAATTGTAATGCAGATGGTGATTCACCACTGCAAATCCTTTTCAGTCCAGACTTAGATCTTATCTGGTCGGGGACACTGGCCCCCAGTTCCACTACTCGTGATTTAAGCACAAATGCATATTTTTGTGTTCTAAATATGTATATGGTGCCCAAGATGTACCACTGCACTGTGAGCATATTAGACTCCTCACCTTATTTGTTAACACTGGTTCATTGTGTGTGGTATTGTAGCTCATTAGTAAGCTGGCGAGCGCAGATGTTGCCATTGTGCGCAGCTTAGCACACAGAGTCCTGCTCATGCTGATCAGGATGGCCTGGTCCTCATCATGTCTGATTAAACTAATTAACTAATGTGGCTGGGCCTTCAGGGGCTGAGACTGGGTTCAGTAACAGAACAGGACGGGAGAGTGGAAATGTTTCAGCTGGAGGCCCAGGACTGGGGCATTTCCCGCTTTACATAACTTCAGCTGCCATACTGTGGCATAGTACCACATTGGTAACTGACCCTAAGGTTTGAAAATGTAAAATGTTGCAAATGACAGTTTAATGCATTTGTCCACCCTGTGCAAGAATGGGTAGTTGCAAAGGTTAAAGAAACAAAACTCATATAACAATGTTTAACTACTCAATTATTACATAAGTACAAGTGCAAATGCTTTCAGAAATAACAATGAAGCTGAATTTAGCTCTGAGATTGAGCTCTGTAACTGGGACTTGTGATTGCAGAGGCAGTGATTATGTGTGATTAGGTAACTCAACTGGACTATTCTTGAAAGGAAACTTTTGGCTCAAACCCCAGGCCAGCTCTATTAATCGTCTATGGAGGCACAGTGAGGCACAAACAGCCAGATTGTTCTGCATCACTAGCCACTACTGAGCCAGTTCAGTGCTCACTGTGTATCATATTGACACAGACACAGCCTTGAACCTGACACTGCTCATACTGCTTTCATTTTAATGCATTCTTATACTGAAGCCAAGGCAGATATCAATGCATTACAGATAGATTTTTTAAACATCTGTAACTTGTTGTGGTTAATTTTAGCAACCTTACTTTTTGGCCAGTCCATCAAAGATGTGTGCTGTCCTACAGAGGGTACATGAAAGCACATCTGTGTGGTTTTGTACATATCACTGTCAACTGTTTATACATAACAATAGGCAAGGGCGTATTGTACACTGTGTGAACATTTCATGGCGAATGCACCAATAGAAATGCTCCACAAACTTGTTGTCCTAATATACCTTGCAGGTAGGGCTGGGTACCAAAATTCAATACTTTTGAGGTACCAACAAAATGACTTTAGTACTACCGGGTTTCCAAAATCATATTAGCCTTCATGAGTCAGTGAGCATGCTTATTCCAAAATATTGTTCCAGCAAATGTATGAATCTTCTCACAGTGGTACATCTGTATAATGAGAACTATAATAGTGTATAAGTTAAGTAGAATAGTGGCAAATTAACGGAACAGTCATACACTCTATCCTATATATCACATTTTCTTTTGCATCATATAGCCAGTTCTTAGACTAGCAGTAAAGCTATGCCTTAGGTCTAGTTTTTATATCTCAGGTGTCCTGACATAAATATTCAGATTGGACACCATCATGTACAACCTTCAGTTCCAGAAAAGTTGAGACAGTATGTGAAATGCTAATACAAACAGAAAGCATTGATTAGTAAATTCTGTTTGATCTGTATTAAAAGGAAAACAGTACAAAAACACAATAATGTTTGCGTTACTTTATGATCTTTGTTGTTTTGTTTTGTAAATATGCACTTATTCCAAATATAGTGCTTGCAACTGTACAACTGTACAAATCTTCAAATAACTGTAAATAATTGTTGATTTTATGTTTCCACAGACCCCACACATATGTACATATTCACATATTCATCTCTTTTGGATCCTTTCACACAGGCTCTTCATGTCTACTCTCTTCTCTCATTAATCTATTTCATTTTAATTATCTGTTTATTATTCATTTGATTTGATTTGAGTTTTATTTATTATAATATCTCATTTTCTTTTGAATATTTGTTAATAGTCTGTTTAGACTTGTCTGGTCTGTTTTAATATGTTACATGTCATAGATATGTGCACTCACCAAGACAGATTCCTCTTCTGTGGAAAATACTCAGTGAAATAAAATTATTCAGATTTTGAAGATGTTACAAAACATTTTGACAGGGGCATTGTGTTCCATCACCTTTCCTTTTAACAACAACTACTCATTTAATTCAATTCAATGAAAGATGGATCTGGACTTCAGGCAGACATGTTGAAATAAGCATGGGTGTCCCTGAAAAAGATGTTGTCTAGAAGGCAACAAATCTTCCTTTAAAATGTGTGTGTATCTTTTAGCATTAATGGTGTCTTCACAGATGTGGAAGTTACTCATGCCATGGGCACTAATACACCTGCGTACCACGACAGAAGCCCTGGCTTTTGAACTTTTCACTGGTAACTGTGAAGACAGTCCTTTTCCTCTTTGGCCCAGAGATTACAATATCCATTAGTTCCATAAACAGTCTGAAAGGTTGGCACGTGAGACCACAGTACATGTTTCCATTATGTATCAGTCTATTTCAGAGGAGCTTGAGCCAAGAGAAGTCAGTGGAATTTATGGATATTGTTAATATATGGCTTTTGCTGTGCATAGTGCACCTTTAACTTGCATTTGTGGGTGAAGCAACAATCGTTCTTTATTGACAATTAGTTAAAATATTCCCAAGCGCATGCGATGGCATCTGTCACCAAAGCATGTTTGGTTTTAATGCAGGGCATTCAGTTGTGCTTTTCGGCCTTGCACTTTATGCACAGAGATTTCTCCAAATTCCATGAATCTTTTGATGATATTATGCGCTGAAGAGGATGAAATGCCTAAAATGATTGCAGTTGCTCATTGAAAATTACTGTTCTTTAAACTCAGTGAGGAAAAAAAATCCCAAATGAATTTCTTCCCTTCACACCAAAGAGCAACTGACCCAAACATTTAAAGCAAAGATTTTTTTATATAGAGCATGCCTACAACTATCTTTCTAAAACTGTTCTTTAAACTGTTAGATTATGTGCTGACACTTTTTTTGGCAAAGTGGCGAGCCTTGACCCATCCTTGCTCATAAAAGGATTAGCCTTTCAATAATGCTCCTTTTATATCTGAGCATGATTGCATCGCCTGTTTAAGGTGTGTTTGAACATTTCCCAGTGTTCCTAGACTTAAATTTGATCATTTCACCGTCTTCCTAGGTTGAATTTTTTTGGAATGTGTTCTGTTTTGTCAAAATAATATTTTTACCATATTTTCATTTCATTTGGTAAGGTAAAAGATTAAATATACTATTTTCAAACTCTTTTCATTTAATACAGGTCACATACAGTGATTTACAAATCACCACTCTTTGTTTTTTTGGGGTTTTGGAATTGGGTTTAGTAGATGTAATCTTCTTAATACAGATCGCACAGTGGTCACAAACTCTTGCCAATGCCTAGTATTTACTTTATGAATACATCCATTTTAAAAGGCACAAAATGTTGTCTTCTAGGGTATTTAGTGTTGAGAACGACAGACACAAGCTGATGGTGTGAAAACCGTAACGCAGGAATATGCCCTGTAATTACGCTCTTCAGCCTTCTGCATGAGAAATTCCTCTCTCATGTTTATTCAGTTAGCATGATTAAATTATTCACATTCACTTCACACCACACACCTGGATCAGCGCTGTGTTTTTTAATTGCAATCCACATTCTGGAGCAGATGTTTCTGGGCAGTGATGCTCTTTTTCAGGGTATAATTTAAACACAGGTAAAAAGTGACTGACAGTTGTTACAAAAGCATGTTTCATAATAGCCCCAGATATATGCTAGCTCTTTATATAACCCTGTCTTTGTCTTTGGGAAAGAGATTTGTTGTTTGATTAGATTGCATCAGAGACTAAACAGTCTGGCTTGAGCTACCACCACCAGAAATTCAATTCATTCTCCCAGTTTTCTGAGTGCCTCATTTGAGACTCTTGTTAGTGTGAGTTATTATTTGCTGTAAACCTCATCTGGTCTTGCCCACCTCGTGTCACAATGACAACCCAAGCATAGTAATTAAATCATGCTGATAAAAGGGCGTTTTGACAGAAAATACAAAGAAAATCCCCAAGCTCCTGGTTGGCATGGCAACCATGACATCACTGCTCAATACATCAGTGGCTCGATTTGAGTGGCATGAAAGAGCACGGATTCCAGACAGGATTAGGTCTGCTATTACCGGTCGCTGCGACTGCTAGGCAACCGTGAAGCTTGGAAAAAATTCCTATAACGTGATCAGGATTCGAATAATGTTACGCATCGGCATCATACGGAGACTTGCTTTTGCTCTTGGCATCATGTATTACTGTTTACCTCTATATTTCTCACAGAACACATCTCTATTTGAAATAATGACTAATATTGAAAGGGCTGTACTCTTTAGGGAGAAACAGCGCTTCGCAGTCTCCTTTAATATGCAGTCACTCATGTAATTCAAATGAGACATTAAATCAATGATTCAGGGAGGATACACATGACTCATTAGATGAGACTGGAGGCGATCTGCCCCTGCAGGTCAATAATCACTTATACTTGCACCACCTGAGAACCAGTGGCGCCGCCTCAGCTGCAGCTGCAGCTTTGTCTGGAAATTTCAGGCCCTCCAGGCCTTCCAGAGTTCCCACATTTTTGTCCTTCGGAAAAAGCCTGCTTCGCTGATTCTCGCTGCAGGGCCTGATGCTCGTGCCTCTTTTTGTCAGTCTGATTATGTTCCGAGTTGTGTGTGATGTTCACGACTGTACACAGTCAGAGCACAAAGCTTCCAAAGTGTTTGGCACAGGATTTCTGTTTAGTTTGGCACTGAAATGGTATGGCTGGTTTACAAATGAGATTTGTGATGTTGTAATGTTGGAATGTGTGGGGGCAGATAACTGTACTGCAAGTAGCATCCTTCTCTTGAGCTTAATTATAGAGAATAAGACCTGAGAGACATGTTTTCCTTAAAACACTTATAACATTTGTGTGGGTTTATGTACTAAAAATGCTCATAATTCATTTTTATATGACCGTTTTCCAACCTCTCTTTATCACAAATAAACAGGCTGTTTACTGTTTTTGTTACTGTAATTTTGTATATAATATATAAACACTGTTAAAGTTTGAAAACATACCATTCATACAGTCCACATATGGAAACTATGCTGCAAAAATCAGCCTGTTTTGAGATCATTGTTTTTGTGATGTCACGAGAACAAAGTCTACATATATCCTATAACCTATTCAGTCTACAGCAGTTCAGCTCATATTGAAGTTCTAGGGAGTGGCAGCCAATTAGAACAGACTCATTATCATATATGAGTCTTTAATTCACAGTAACAAAAACAGCCTGTTTAATTCTAAAGGATAAAGAGAGGTTAGAAAATGGTCATTTTAAAATGTATTCTCAATGGAAAAAATACAAGAAAATGTAGGATATAAGCCCTTTAAAAAGTGAGAAATATTCAGTTTTCCTTGGTCAGAGCCCTTTAATCTGAAAGCTATAATACATATCGGGGGGTTTAAATATCTAATCTCACAACAGTCTAATTTCACCATGATTCAATTGGATTTAATAACAAAACACACTTTATAACACTTTATATTTACTTGTGTATCCTTAGCTACAACAAAGAAGTCCACAAATACCCTTGAGCTAAGATGTGAAGTGTCAGTTCTGATATCTAATCAGAACAATATAGAAATAAGACATTTCATTGAAGTGCAAATACTTTTCAAGGAAATGGGTCTTCAGTCAGTGTTTATAGAAAGCGAGAGACTCTTGTTTGTACAGCCAGTGGAAGTTCCTTCCATCGCAGGACAGAGAAGAGTCGTGGTGCTTGTCTTCCATGAGTCTTGAAGGATAGAGGGACTAACCAAGCTGCACTTGAAGCACGGACCCGGAGGAAAAGTGTACTGTTGCTCTTTGGGGGCTCAGAAGACCTAACGCTGAATCTAAAATTCCTGAGGAGAAACAGCATTAGACTGAAAGGAAACATGAGATGCAGGAGAGATAGTGAAGAGATGAGTGTTTAGTTGCAGATAAAGATGAGTAGCAGGAGAGACTTAAGCTAAAGTCTTTGTCAATCCATCTGATCTCGTTGTTTAGGAGAAACTACAGAAATATTAAGGAGAGCTTTTTATATATATATTTTTTTTCCAATGGGGAGGGTTCTGGGTACAGGAAGTTTTAACCGTTGCCATCAGATTTGGAGGAGTTCCATTTCTGGCAAGCATCAGAGTTTTCAATCTATGACTGAAGTTCCTGTTCATGCAGGATTGCCACATTGACAATAAAAAGAGTATACCTAGCTTTTATTTTGGCTTTGAACATTTGAAAATAGCTCAATAATTTACCGTGGCCAAAAGTAAAGGTGCAAAGGGAGGAACACACAAGATACAAGTCAAATCAATTGAAGAAAAATTGTATTTAATAATGTTATAATTTATTATAATATTCCAAAATTGATGCAGTTGAGTCACCATCTTCAGACTGATGTATAATGATGCAACAATGCAGTTTACACCCCTTTTAGATTATTCAGTTAGCATACTGGCAAATCTTAAATGATGAATAGTATAAAATATAACATGATCATGAGCTCAACCGCTGTGAGATGAGTACAAATGCATTTGTTCTTTGTTGTTTCAGATTCATGAACAACCGTGTCCCATCCAGCAAAAGATATCAGCCAACTGAGTACGAGCATGCAGCTAACTGTGCCACTCATGGAGTAAGTAGCCAGTGCTCTTATCATCTGCTTTGCATGTAGGTGGGTTTGCTGATGGTGGTGGTAGTGGAGGGAATTGCGCAGGCACAGAGAAAAGGTCATAGAGATCAAGTCTGCCACAGGATTAGTGGATATACTGAAGCCCTGAAGTGCTATCTGTCAAATCTGCTGTGATCATCTGATTATAAAATACTCACATTACAGAATCTAGTAGAAATGTCTGACGATGAAGATACAAATTCACTCTCAGGAACAGGTCAAATTCAGAGATTATTTCCTCTTGACTCTGCTGGAGCTTGGTGAGTTGTTTTTATGGGCATGTTTCTGTGATCTTGGTGCAGTGCTGCCGTTTGGAGAGCATCCTACTCTCTAATCCTCCCCGCGCGTTACTGTCGCACATCTGGCATGGCTGGCGCACAGAGCTCACCGACCACACAGCAAATCCTCTCTGACCTCTTTTATCAACATGCCAAGCTTCTGAGTTTATGTATGACAAATGTTCACTTCTGTTGCTGGTGTTATAGTCGAGGGAGTGATTCAGATACGCTCTCTTTAGAAGTTTGAAATTTGGAATGAGGAAATGGTGCTTTGTTCACCTTGCAGTGTAGATGTCTGTGGAGATTATGAGTCAGATATTTAATTAACTTGTTTCAAATGTAGCCTAGTTAGTTTCTGTCAAAACAAATAGGAAATGAAGTGTACCTCTAGACTCAAGAACATGCAAAGCAACAGACTCAATATTAAAAATATAACACTTTTGAATTTTACATTAAAATGATGTAATGAAAATAAGCTACAGCAACAAAGCACTGACAGATCATCCATATATACACTCTGCCAACTGCACATTTTTTCGATATACACATCAAGAAATTGGAGTAAATGTGTTAAAATGAAGTACTTAGAGCATCCACTAGCACTGTGACCGATGTGCTTTGCATCAGTCATCATAGTGCAAAAACGTCCAGCATCTGTATTACTACAAAAGGCTCAGTCACAGCACATAGAGCAACTTCTTGCAAAAGACTCAAAGGAGCGTTCACACGGACGTGCAATCAGAATTGAACTGACAGTCACGATAAATGTGGCCAGCTCAGCTTAGACATCAGACTGCAGCTTCCCGTAGCATAGAATTTGCACACTTCATTTTGAAAGCACTTCACACATTTACACATTTAGCACTGAAATAATGCAGTGATTAGACAAAATTGCGAGCTCTTGCAAAGACTGTACGGATTGGTTGAATTTGAATTCTTGCGATCACAGTTGTTGAGAGTCCCATTTTCTCTAGAGCTTTTAATACATTTTTGTTTGCTGGGGTGTATTGTTCAGTAAATTTAAATTTCAGTACACTGTTTTGAACATTTCACTTTTTGATACTGTATTGAAATTGTTACACCCTTAAGTTGTAGTTTTACCAAATATGCTAAGATGGTAAATTTGCTAATAATTGATTGACAAGTTTTTTATGCTACATGATGTCACAGTATTTATTTTTTCTGACATCTGATAAGTCAGAACAGACAAAGTAGTGCTACATTTTAAAAATACTGTTAAAAACTATGAATCCAATTACTTAGATTCAGCATTTCACACACTGTGCTGCAGTAAATCCAATTAAACATGACAAATTATGCATGTTATTTTTTTCCAGTTGTGCAAATTTGCACTTGCAAAGTGATTTTTAAGTACTGATATTGATATATTGATAGGCTCAGAAAAGCATATTGTGACATATTATAAAGAAATTCATCACAACAGTGATTAGTATATTTAACAGAATAGTACTAGGTTTATTGGTTTTATAAAAACTTTCTTTGCAAAACATTTATGGTCGAATGCAAAGTTGTGGGCACCCCGGTCAAATTATGTTTTGTTGATTAAAATAAGTGAACGTCCTCTATAGAGAACACACTTCTGTACATTTTAATGTACAATTACTGTTTATTTGCTGAGTTTAAGATACTGGGAAAAAAAAACAAAAATGTGACCTGTGTAAAAGTATTGTTACATAATATTGTTATGTTTTATTTTTTTCCAATGCAAATGGCATGTTTAAGATTGTTCTTTGTAGTGGATGTGCCCATGGGTGTTCAGACTACACCAGCACCAGTGGATGGAACCTTTTTGTTTTCCCTGTTGTGAAATGAGGAACACAGTTTGTAAATTATATTCAAATGATATTGGGCTTTGTGGTATTCCTTTTACAATCCATGAAACCTGATGAACATTTTTTTGTTTTAGCTCTGGATCATTCCCAGCATCCTAGGCAGCTCACTGTTATACTTCCTGTCTGATGACCAATGGGAGAGCATCACAGCGTGGCTATACGGCACTGGACTGTCTGGCTTGTTCATCATGTCCACAATGTTCCATACCGTGAGCTGGAAGAAGAGTCACCTGCAGTGAGTTTTTGCATAATATACAGCTGTGAATGCTGGAACACTTCATAAACAAACTTATTTTGGACAATAGATCTCAACTAGCATCAGCTTTCAGTTCCTGAGAATGTGCAAACAGAGGGGCCATGGCCTGTTTGTGCATACCTAGGGGGATCTACGAATGATTGTGCGTCCACACACAGACATTCTCACAAACACATGTTCATTATAAACTGCCTTCAGACATGAAGGTGCAATGAACTAACTAAAAGCTCTCTTGTGTTTTATTTTACTGGATGTTCTTTATTTAGAGCCACATCCTGGAATTTATTTGTTCTTGACATTAAATGTGTGATTTATCTACTGTATTTGGATGATAACACGTTTGTAGATGTGATATTTGCCACATTAAGTAGCTGGTCCACCACTTTGTTCCAAAAACCCTAATTGGGACCTAACAATTAATATTTTGACATGGTAGGATGACTGAACAGTCTATACATTTCTCCTTGTACTCATGTTCAGTCATACAGTCTTTCTAGGAATATGAGTACAGGTGCCAATCGGCATTTCCACCGAGCGTGTTTGACCACTTCGCAAATGTGTGTACTGAAAACAAAGAAGTCATATGACACTGGTGAGGAGATAGCTGTAAGGGTATTTATTTTAGGCTGTGTTTAAATGTCAAGGTAACAGTGTCGCAGTAAACAGAAGAAAACTTGAATTTTAATGTACCCTTGCTTTGAGAAATAGCATGGCACAATTTTCTCATAGTAGTGGTTTCACTCTGTGGTTGAACAGTTCATTGTTTCTCATGCATCATACTAGAATGACTGCTGTGACACACAGCCTACTGTATATGCACCGGTGCTATGAAATACAATACGGAAAAATACCTATACACGTATCTGGGCCTCCAGCTCCAGAGAAAGTCTGCTACACAGTAAAGCACATGCTAAAAAAAGTTGTCCCAACCTAGTTAAAAAGAGTCAGCAAGTGCAAAAATCATGCAATACAAGTTATTCATTTTTCAGGCGAGATTTCTGAGGAGATTAGGGATAAGATAATCCACTTGCATAAGGAAGGAAATTAAGAACGTCCAAGGAAAATAGGCTAAACTGGAGTTCCAAAAAGATTAAAAGCTGTAGAGAAAGTGAGACCCCTAACAACTGTGCAAGACCGGGTAGACCACCGAAACTGTCACCATCTGATAAACAGGACTTGAGAAAATGACAGGAGAAAATCAAGCTCCATTTTTGCTTCAGATCTTAAAAAAATCCACAGGTGTTTCTGACCATCCTGCCACTGTGAGAAGGCAACTCAACACTATGAGTCTGAAAGGATGTGTAGCTGACAAGAAGCTGTTACTGACAAAAGGAAATAGACCAATGAAGAATAACATTTGCAAATCAAACAAAGAAGCTGCTGCTGTTCTCAGAACAATTGACTGGCCAGCCCAGAGTCCAGACCTCAACATCCCTGTATTTGGGATTACTCGGTTTGTGAGAAGCAGGAAATGCAACGAATGCGACCGAACTTTGGAGGTGTGGAAAAATATCTGTAGATTTTTATTGAAAAACTGAAGCCTTTCAAAGGAAAAGCAAGTCTCCCGAAATGGATAAATGCTGTAATAAAGGCAAAGGGTTGATACACTGAATACTGAAAATTCTTATATTATATTTAGTTGTTGAATTTTCTGTTAAACATGTGTTTTCCGATTTTCTATTAACACTAAAAAAATTAATAACTTGAACATAATGGCTGTTTTGGCTGGAAATCAAATAAATGAAGAGTGAATTCTTGGACAGTAGTGTATAAGTTAATAAAAAAAGTTTAAAGTTTTTTTAATATATAAAATAAACATATTCATGTCTCTTTAAAAATACAAGGATATTCACATAAACTCAAGCTGTTTTTATGTACTTGAGTTTGTTGATTATTATACGTTCTCCCAACTTATATATATCAAAACTGGAGTTATTTTTAAGTTGTTGCTACAGGGCTCCTTAAAATCTGACTCGTCACAGTTTGCATACTTTCTCATCCATTATGCGGTTTACAGCCTTCATTTGAACGCCCACAGCAGGCAGGCAATGGGGTTGAAGTAGTTAATGCCCTCCTCCAGACATAAACCAGTGCTATTTTGTTTAGGGTGTGCTGTGCCACCACGATACCACCCTTCACTATATTTCAGTGTTCCTTGATTTTATGCTTTTTACAATGATTTATTTGTTATGGAGAGACACATTAGCTGGGAAAGCCGTGGGAAGTTTGTAGGACTTCACTTGTCAAGTTGCATCAGAGCAGCCACCCGAGACGGTTCCTTTGACTCTCCATTTACGATGCAGATTGACTGACTCACATGGGCCTGTCAGGTCTTGTTGGGCTTCTCAGATATATTCCTCATGCAGATCAGATCTGTCTCTTGCATGCGAGAAAATAACCGTCTGCTGCACCATGCCGTTGTTTGACTTGTCTGCTTGCCAAGAGAAACGGACAGAAATCCAGAGAAGTGAGTGCTGGTCTGGTTTTCACTTTATGGGGTGCAATGTTTTTGGATACAGCCCAGCCCTTTTTTTTGTATTGTGTGGTTTGTACTACTGTTCAGTCTGTGGCTTAAAACCAGAGCCAGAGATTTTGATCATTTCATTAGACCAGCAGCACAGATGCGAAAAACTGGTGAAGGCTGTGCTCCTGCCAGCAAGGCCATAACTGAAATCCTCCCTTTATGCTTTTCCTTTGGCAGGAGGGTTGAACAGCGCTTCCACATGTGCGACCGGATGGTGATTTATTTCTTCATAGCTGCCTCTTACGCCCCCTGGTGAGTACAAGTGGTATCAGTGCCTCAGTAGGCTTGTTTTCAGCTTCTCAGAGCAACCTGTTGTTACATCAAGGCATTATGATGGGTCCTTTGATCACTGGGATGGCCAAAGGAAGAAAGGCATTCTGCATGTGAGTGTTTGTTGTGAGGTTGTAATTGATGTCTGTGCTGTGTGCAGGTTGAACCTGAGGGAGCTGGGCCCCTGGGCGGCCCACATGCGCTGGCTGGTGTGGATCATGGCCTGTGTGGGCTCTGCTTATGTCTTCTTTTTCCATGAAAAGTATGTTGTTTCCTATATAAAGGCACGGACACAGTAGTGATATAGGTCTATGCAAAAGTTTAAACATCCCCATCAAGTTACATGTTTTGTTGATTTTCAAAGTGAAAATAAGTTAACATATCCTCTACAGTGAACAGACTTGAAAATGGCATTTTTCTGCACATTTTAGTGCACAATTTCTGTTTATTTGCTAAGTTTAACGTATTGGAAATAAATAAAACATAAAATATTATGTATGATTACTTTTGCACAGACTACATGTTGTTTAATTGTTTTCCTAATATGACAAATTCAGCAAATAAACAGTAACTGTACGTTAAATGTGCAAAAGTCTGTTCCTTGTAGAGGATGCGTTAACTTTTTTTCACTTAGAAAATCCAAAAAGAATTTAATTTAACCAGGGACCTTTTGCATACGACTGTATCTGATCAAATCTTCATCAACAGAATAAACCCAGTACTATACCCTTAAAGAGACAATTGCACAAACAGTGCACTTGTACTGACAAGAAAAAGGAAAACACAAGAGAAACTTGTCCTCTACACATACAGCATTTTTCAGCAAATGTTAGGGCACAATTTTTATAAATAAATTTTATAATTTTATAAATTTTTAATATTTATTTGCTGAATTTATCGTAATGGAAATAAATAAAACATAAAATATTATGTGCCATTATTTTGCACAGTCTAAATTTTGTTTTACCATTGAGAAAGGTTTGGTTTAAAACGGTTAATTGTAGAGAAACGTACTTAATTTCTTTACAGTGGTTGTGATTACAGTGTTTACAATATAAATATAATAATAATAATAAATATAATTTTTTTGACTATCCAACAAAACCACCAGTGAGGCTACACGTGTCTTCAGATATTATTTTGGGGACTATTTTACCCTACAGTGTCTTGCATGTACCTCTTCACCATTAATGTATTTGAAAAAATAAACATTTTAGGCCCAAACTTCTCAAAGCTAATGTAAAACAGCATCTCAATCCTCAAGACATGTATCCATAATTATTTTATAATCATATTTCATGTAAGCTCTGTGAGGGAGCTTTTACAGGCATCAAAAGCTTTGAATGTCTGGTTCCCACGACCACCACTGTGAACAGTTCTGAGTTAGTTTCTCTAGTATGAAGCATTCCACATCAAACCACTCGGAATGACTGAATTAATGATGGAATTATGCAGAAATTTTGAAAAATCAGTGGAATTTTATTTTTATTTATTTTTTATTAATTTTATTTAGTAATCCACATTGGTGATGTTTGTTTTGATATTCCTAAAGGTGGCCAGATGTAAAAATACATGTAGCTCAGAAGATGCACATAGTGGTCTCTCCATTATTTCCACCTAATATGCTGCCATAGCTTTTACACTTTATTTTAATTTGATGCACATATTTTGGCACCAAAGCTGTTCCAGCCTATTAGATACAGCCAGCAGGCAAACTAATAAAGTAATAATCTTTCATTTTATTCTGTAATTAGAATGCCAATTTATTTATGTAGAACAAAGTTCTACATTTGCCCTAATTAAGTTGTTTGGGTTTGACATTAAGAACTCCAGTACAGCCATCTCTAACTGATCTCAGCTGTTCAACTGAAATATTGATAATAGAAATCTAAAAGGGGGATGGGAATGTGAGATTTCTTTTTTTTCTGACCCTGAGGGATGACCCTCCTGTGAATGCTCTGTATGTGTAGTAGGTGTATTTATTAAGTGACCACTGAGTATTACGGGTTTTGCACTGGACTTTAGAGTCCTATTGTCTTTTGTTTCTCTAGTAAATTAGCCGTGGCTTTGCATGAAAACCTTTGTGCAGATACAATCTAAATCCAACATGTTTCCTAGGAACAAGATCCTGGACCTGCTTTGCTACACTGTCATGGGAGCCATTCCTGCACTTGTACTCCTGTCAATGGTAAGAGAGAAGGCATTTCTGTATGTATTGGCCATGATGTTCATACTGTAGCAGTCCATTTACACAACTAAGCAGTTGTCTAAAAAAACGTTTTGATAACCTGCACAGTGCATACAGTACTGTTACGTACTCTATTGTATCTAATAAAGGGAACGTACAAACGTTTATTAGCTTTTGTATCACAAAAAGGAGTAGTCAAAAATGCTGAAATGACTAATAATGAAAGCAAAAACCAGTGAGCATTATGGAAATGATGTAGGATGATGCTTTCTATTCTTTTCTATGCTGTCAGCCTAACAGAGAGGGCGTGCTGGAGCTGTCGATGGGTGGAGTGTTCTACTGCTTGGGAGTGGTCTTCTTCAAGAGCGATGGCCTCATCCCTTTCGCTCATGCCATCTGGCACGTCTTTGTGGCTGTAGGAGCTGGCATACACTACTACGCCATCTGGAGGTACCTGTATGCAACAGGGAGCCACATGAAGACGTCCAGGTGACGGACTGAGGCCCTGGGGAACAGCGCTAGCTCATCCTCATATCGGGTCTCATATAGTATATTTAGATTTAGGTTGTTGACAACCAGCCAGTAATTTAATTTACAAAAATATAATTATATCTGATCACAAGTTGCCTTTGCAGTTTTTAACAGAATTGTGGTGTTTTGACAGTAGCTATTTTTGTATAGAGGAATTTGCTGCAAAATGTAATTTGAAAATTGAAAAAAAAAGTTTCACAACTCAGTTTATTAATATATATTTTGATTTTTCCTACAAATTTTTCAAGAGTTCAGTGTTTACAGAAAGTGTAGTAAGTGACTGAGGACAAATTTTTGTGACTGATTTCATTCCATTCTTCATAGCATTTACTTAAGTAACTGTTATTGAATCAGTTCATGAAGTCGGATTAGAATTTTAACTATGCATTTAAGTACTTTAATTTATTGAAATCTTGTAAGCAACTTATGTTGAAGAATTTCATCTTTCTTTTGCACTACATGCTGTATGAAATTGTGTTGTTAAATTACTTGCCAACTCTGAATATTTTTGAAATTTGAATTTTGAATATTATGTGAAAAAATGTGCATTCTGAAGAACAAACCCAATCTTGCAGTTCAGTGACCAATCTACAAGGATGCTTCTCAAAACTTCATAATTACAAACATCTCAAAACCTTAAAATTAGTGCTTGGTGTTGAGCTGATTACTGTTGTGCTTGTCACTTTGTCACTTTTTCAGTGTCCTAACTGCTAATATGAAAGATATAGAGGACCAAACTGCAGCTCCCTTTACACTCTTATAGGTCAGGACTATGTTATAGTTTGAAATAAAGTGTGAGACGAATGTTCGGCATCCCAAAAACTTTGGCACTTTAAAGCTCAATCATTTACAGAACATTTCTGATACCCTCTATGAATGATCTTGTCCAATTTCCTGAATGATACTATTTGAATGACTATAACATTTGAATGACTTATCATACAGATGGTGTTTGTAAAGATTGTGGTCCTGAATGTTAAGAAAAAGTCTATTTGTTTTATCCATCGTATCACCACATTGGGACAATAAGTAAACATTGCACTGTGTCAAAGGTGCTTCAATTGATTTTCCTTTCATGTTGGACTTTCGGCTGTTGCACAGCTTAACTTGCCGTCTCGTGTAAATGCATTGCATTGAGTTAATTTTGACAGCATTAGTTCCTCATCAAATCAAGGGCCGTGTTAAATCAATACAGACACACTCTCTCGTCCTGCATTGTGAATGTTTAATGAATGATTGGAGGTTTCATGATCGCTCTCCCAAAATCTCAGTAAATTACTTTGATTGAGCTTCATTGTGTTTATAATTGCAATTGAGTGCACAGTGCACATGATCAACACGTCTACTGTGCACGCTTCCTTTGTCCAGCTCCCGTTAGCTCTCTGTGCTGGGCCGTGATCTATGCAGGCAGGAAGTTGGAGTGGTTGTGCAGGAGGCCACTGATGGCTCTCATGCGCTGGGGCAGGCCAGCGTTAGTGTCTCTGTGCCAGCGGGGGCTGTCTCCATGGGTCGACGGGGCCAGTACAAATTGGGCCACATTGGGCAGCTTGAGCAGGTTGATGAGCTCATGGGCTCGTGTGATGATCTCCTCAGTGTCCTCCTCACTAAAGCACACAGCTACAGGCCCACTGCGCGCAAACGAACGCATCTTAGACAGCAAGAGTGATGCCCTGAGAGACAGAGAGAGAATTGTGTTGCAGTACAGAATGAGATGATTTGAGCTATACTGCCCAAAGTTTTTAAATTTTCAATGGAATATTTGATATTCATGGTCACTTTTTAATTAACTTAACAAATTACCTTAACAAATTAAGTACTAAATGAAATAAAGGGTGTTTGTTAGCATAAAAAAACTTTTTACTAATTCTTTGTGTATATACAGATTCAAGTTTATTAAAGTGTTGATGAGCAAGTTTTGCTTTAAAGTTTAGACGGTTCTCTTTTGCAAAGTATTGTAAATGGTGGTTTAAATGCCTGCACAGTCTGAGTGCTGATGAGTGTGGTCATCACAAAAAGGCATCAAACGTCTGGGGAATGGCATTATTTCCGAAATAGTACAGTCACAAATATACACGACATTGTTTTCCTCAAAATAAACATAGCTAGTATTTAATAAGTTCATAAGTTCCAAAACAAGGTATTAGCAAACTTTTGATGGCCAGAGCAGTGGTGCAAAGAAGTTTGTGAACCTTTAGAATTCTATTTGTTTCTGCATAAATGTGACTATAAAACAGACAAACAACCCAATAAAACAGACTCAAACATAATCTGTTTAATTCACTTACTGAACAAAGTGATTCAACATTAAATGTATTTGTTGGAAGACGTGAACCTATGCTTTCAGTAACTGGTGACACCAATGACACTTTCTGAGGTTCTCAGAGATCTCCTTTGACCAAGGCACCCACAAATATATATGGTGAAGACCAGACTTTGATGCTGAAGAGGATGATGTAAATGGGTCCTAATGGGTCTATGCACCTCCTGACTCTTAATTATCTTCTATGCTAAACTCAATCCTACATATATTTTTTTCTAACACAGACATTTAACCTTGTATCAGTGTGTTCAATAGATTAATGAAAAGGTTTGTTTCATTGGTTATTTTTACTACTAAGATGATGTCAAAAGACATGCAGAAATTCTCAGAAATTTAAAAGGTTCACAAACTTTCCAGCCCCACTGTCAGCGCAGATGACATACATGAGTAATACTGAAAAAGGGCTAAACAGTCCTACCGAGGGATGAGGTCCTGACTGCGGGAGGCCAGCTTGGCCAGTGCGGTCATCAGCACAGTGAGGAGGCGTGGAGAGTAGCATGGGGGGCTGGAAGACTGACGCACCTGTGTGATCTCAAACAGCACTGCTTCCAGCCCCTCAAAAAAAGAGGTGATCAGCTCCACAGTACAGCGAGAGTCATAGGACACTGACAGATACTCTCCTATTACCCACACCTGCACATTTGCACACATAGACATCCTATTACCACCTCAAGGCAAGCAATATAGAATGCTTAAATAGACAGAATGAATGAACAGGGCTTGATTTTCACTCACCGCATGTGTGTAGAAGTTCTCTTTACTGTAGATGCTGGTAGTTGTGCTGACAAAGTCCAGCAGCTCCTTGTACTGATCCACAATCAGCGGAGGGTGCAGTTTGCACAGGGTCTGCAGGTGTGTGCTGAACACTCTACAACAAATATTCAGCAGTCAGAGAACTACAAAAAAACTCACTATGACAAGATAAATCCAGAAAATCCATCCACGATGGGGCCAAAGCCTCATATTATTTGAACCATGAACTGACTAACCTCTGCACTTCAGTGCTGAAGTTCTTTATATTGAAAAGGAGGCTGCTTCTCTCCAGCAGGACCAGCAGCAACTGATTTATCAGCTTCTCATCGGCCGTCTAAGCACATAAACAAGAAGACGAAAGAACAACTCTAGGTGGGCGATATGATGAAAATCATCATTTCAATATCATCATTATGACAAATTACCTGACTTAGCTTGACTTAGTAAGGGGTCACTACCTTGGTAGCACAGTGAATGTTGTGCCCATGCTTAAAACAATGTGCGCTTTTCAAAAGAAAGCCAAGCCATGGCATAACATCCTCTCAATGCCAAACTCTGACAGTATAATGTTTGCTATGCACATCTTAGCCAGGACATATAGATTTTCTCATTTTCCATCGGCTTTCCATAACTGAAAAGCAGTCAATAAAAAATTCTGCTTTGTCAAGTTTTTTGAGAACCACTAAATATCAGAGGAGTAAAGCATTACAAGATGCAGATCACAGGCACAAATAAAATAGTGGTAGTGTTGAACTGGCCTGCTTGTGAAAGGTTGGTTCTTATGAGGTTTGTGGTGTTTGTTACCTGAGTGACTGTGTTGAAGTAGACGTGCAGTAGCACAGGAACGATCTGGGCACAGCGCACGACCCGTGGACTCTCCACCATGCCCTCCAAAGCTTCATGAAGTGTGCTCAACCTGTATAGCAGCACAGAGCAAATGGAGAAGAGCACAAATAAGAAAGCAGCAACAGTCAGAGGTTAGAAGTCAGAGGGCAGCAGAAAGCAGCCACAGAACTACACTAAATGCTATATGAGTAACATTTCTTGACACCATTGGCTCATTTGAGTGACAACATTGTACAAGTATTTAAACAGCATACAAGCAAGCAATTACAGGTGTAAAAATCTTGATTAAATATTTTAAATATATTGATTCTTTAGGAACCCATTTACCATATCATGAAATCGAAAAACATGACCATATAAGATTATTTTGATAAGATTCAGAATTATTTTAAAAAAATGCACAGAGGCAAGTTTAATTCTTGGTGTTGCCATGGCCAAGTGTGTTGAATGCTGTTCAACTATTTACACAGTGGTGGGAAACAGACAACAAAAAAATACATTAAGACTTTTTCTTATTAAGAAAACACAAAAGAGAACTTCATTTTGTCCTAAAAATGAATGCATATTTTATTGAATCTTATTAAAGCTGATTCTAGCACTCCAAAATCTATGTAGTTGAATAACCACTTTCAGACTGATGCATCACTATGTATACTATGTATTTTAATAACCCTATAGGCAGTGAATATCTTAAATAAGTGATCAGTAGGAATTACCTATCAATGGTGTCCCCAGTCCCTGCTTCAGGTCTGAGGATGTACAGAAACAGTCCTCTGTAAGAGGGCTGGCGGAAGGCATCTAGGGAAGCAGTGATCTTGGAACCCTGCTGGTCCCACACAGCACGATCTTGAGCTGGGTAACATGATGACCTGCAACGGGATTCCACACATGCTTATTTAAACAGCTAGAATGCAGTGATATTTCGATGCAAAACTGTGGAGGTGTGATAATGCATCATGAAGAATGGACATTTCATTGATTTTACCCTCTATAGTAACTACACTGTTTGAACACTTAAGTATGCAAATGATCAAATTCACAGGGCTGAATGATCAACTAATGACCTGAACGAGGTGCATCTGGTCGCAGAGTGAAAGCTAAACTGCACAGTGAGGCATTCTCCTAAGGGGGTATTTCATAAAGCAGGATTTCTCAGCTGGATAACCTAAACCAAAAGTTTCCAATATGAACGTCCCTTATTTCTTGTCTTATTGTACAAGCTTGATTTTTGGCTTATCAGGCTAACTGAGAAATTCTGTTCTGTGAAATAGAGCTTCAATAGTGTAAACCAGGGGTGCGCAGCTCTGGTTCTGGGCCAGTGTCCAGCACAGTTTGATAATCTTCCTGCTCAAACACACCTGATTCAGATCCCCTGTTAATTGCCAGATGGGTTTGAGTAGGGAAACTCCCAAATTGTGCTGGACACCATCCCTCCAGGACCGCAGTCTAACCCCTAGTATAAACCGGCTGTGCATTTTCAAGTCACATCATGAGGCACAAAAAAAGAAGACATAAGATCACAAGCATCACACCAAATCACTCTTTTATTTTTAGTGTGTTTGATTATCTATGCATGCAGCTTACCTGTGCTGTAGGTCCAGGGCAGCAGCCAGGCAGGGCAGATCCAGCAGCGAGTGGAGTAGCTCGATCGCTGTCTCAGGCGCCAACAGAGAGGGCAGCAGCTCCACATACTCAGAGATCAGACCTGGGCTGTTCCACGCCAAGAACTAAAGGACAGAATGGAGGGAAAGTGTTGCACAACACTCTACCCACTGTTAAAGTTTTGGATCAGCTGTGTTTATTGGAGAAGAGAGCTCACCTTGAGCAGGTTGGGGAAGCTATGCCTGTAGATCGCCACTTTCTCCTGCAGGACGCTCACATTGTGGAGACAGAAGTGCACAAACTCAAAGGCCAGCATTGGTTCATTGAAGAGCTCCGCGGGGAACCGGGTAAACACTTGGTGGAAAACAGCCTCGGAATCCACAGCAGCAGTTTCACCTGAAAACACACACATTCTCTCAGTTACACACAATAGTCGAGTTGTAAAAAACACTTTCAGGGTGGGTGGTGGGTTCAACAGACAACTGAAAAACACCCTTTACAAACATGCTGTCTTATAGTGCCATTAGCCT